TTCAAGAAACCACAAGTAAACAGGTTCATAGTACCTGGGAGATGTTGGGTTGGAAGGTGCTATATAAAGTCCTTGTCTCCACATGTTCAGGTACCAAACCCTGGGTTCTGAGGATATGAAGGGCTAGCCGCTCTTCACCTGGACCAAGATGCTGATGCAAAATTTTGTTAGCTTCTGAAATAAAAGAAATGGAAAAAGAATGGGGGTTCATGACACAGAATTTGAATTTGAACTTTTTAAAAAATTTAGACCCAGATATTTAAAAATTCAGCAGAAAACTGTGCTCAGCATTAAAAAAATGGAAGATTTTTTCTAATTTTCCATAAATTACTGAAAAGTTTTTATTTGTGTCAGTAAGAATTTAAGACAGAAAAATAAAATAAGTGAACAAGCTCACCAGCTTCCTCCAAAGTATAGTCTCGTCCCCCGTAGTTAATCTTTCTACCATTCTCAGAGAGGACAGGAGGAGCATAGCCTTTAAACCTGGCTACATTTTGCAGTAACTGGGTTGGTTTTAGTTGATCACGCCAGGTATTCACACCTGAACTTTTAGGAAAGCAAGAGAAACACATCTTAAAATTATTTACCATTCAGGGTATTTACACATCATGTAAAATGTATTTATTAAACTAATTCAGAAAGGACAGCCTGTAACTGCCTAGACTGAGGCCACTTGAGTTTGATACAGTGACATAATTTTATACAATGTCAATTACCTTCCAAGACAGAGTGCTTTTTTCTTTACATATCAAAATAATTTACGCTAACAGATGCTTTCATATTTATTTCCATGAGTGAGTAGGTCAGAAAATTCTATTAAGTGTGTGTTCTCTGGACAGAAATAACACACGTTACCATATAAAGAGAATATTAAAATGTTTGACATCATGGTTTTCAGTCAAGGCTCTTCTGAAGACTTTACAGCTTAACTTGGAATTCAGATGATAGAGGTGAGCACAACAAACACCCATGAGAAGCCACAGCCACTTTCTTTTTAACCATATAATTAAGATGAAGGAAGCCAGGAAGAGACTGGGTACTAGATACTAAAGATAAAAAATTTCAATAGACAAAATGACTTACATGCAATACTGCTGTGGGATGCCACAGTGAGATCCATAACGAGAAAGGAATCTGTTCTCAAGATCAATTATGGTTTCACCCACTTTTTCATCACGAGTCAATGTGTCATAGTCATAGACTGAAATTTTCAGATCCTTTTCTTGAGGCAAAAAGCAGCTGAGTTCATACATTCTAAACATAAAAATGTCCAGTTAACGCTATTGGTCTTTTGAGCAATACCTTTTATTTTTAAACTTCAAAACCCCATTTTTTAGTTTATTTTTGAGCAATATCCTTTACAAGATATTAAAGGGATGCTTCCAATGCTGGTAAGTCTAGCAGTAGTTACCACTCATGCTCCAGTTTCTATTTGCACTTACTAATAATTCTGTTTGTGTTCCTATGGATATTACATCCTTCCTTTCTGCACAATGTATTACTTAGATGTTTTCTGTGCAGCAGCTTGAATTGGTTCTGAGAAAGAAACTAGTGTGGCTCTGCCAGCCACTCTGTAAAAAGGATGGTGGTTCGATCCACACTTTCTGTATGATTAGAAATGTTTAATTTTTTTTACCACAATGCCAACACAGTTGGAGCCTTAAAAAACACAGTCCAAATGTTTAGCTTCTATTACTCTGTCATCGAGCTGTCCTACAAAAAACAGACTGTAGAGTTTTCTCAAATTAATTCTTTGCATTTACTTTCAAGATATGCAGCCTCATGGTTTATAATGCTGCTGAATCCATTACCCTTGAGGTAAAGTATTCCATGGTTAATTATTCTCTGCATCTTTTTGTTTGTTTTATTTCTAGTCTAACTTTTAAACTTTGACTTCCAGAATCATTCTGGAAAAACTTGGAATTTTGAAGGTACTTTGTACGTGTAAACAAGTCTCCTTGCTGTCTATTTCTTTGCATAATCCTAACAACTGAAATCCTGTAGCACGTCACTGCAAAGTATGCTTTCCAAACTCTTTATAATCCTTTCAGTTCTCCTCTCCTAACTTTCTAAACTATCAAAATCCTCCTCTAACTGTGGACACCATACCAGACCCAGAATTTCATTAGTAATTATAAAGATGATGTAACCTTTCCATTCTTAATTAGTATTTTTCTAGTCATATATTTCAAAGATATCATTAGGCTTTGAAGGAAGGGCAAGTATACTGGGAATTCATATTAAGCTGATACTCATCGTGACATCCAAGTAATTTTCAGAGTTAAAATTTTTTCCATATTCTATAAGCATATATTGTTATTCTTGTACACAGGGCAGTTTTAAGCTACATACATTGTCTGACTTTGTGGAATTTACCCATGTGATACATAAAATCTATAGACTAGACAAACACCTGTGTTGTCCAGTGATTTCAAAGGGAAATGCCTTATGCAACTTTACTCACAATTAACTGACAGTATATAACTACGAGTAGAGCACCGGATATTTCAAATAAGGAAAACATTCTAAAATACAATAAATAGAAAATACAAAAAAGTTTGTTACCTGCCAAAAATTGGGTTGAGAGTATTAGGCACATAATTATCTCTGTCTTCAATTACTTTTTTACTTAGGGATATTTTTATATAAGGATCACACTATTTAAAATACAAAAAAAATATTGTTAAGAAATAGTTATCAAGGCTAACTTTATTTAAAATATACCACAGCAGAGTTAGCTCACAGACATTCAAAAAGCAAAAAGTCTCACCAGCCCATTGTTATCCTGGGGTTGCAGCTGCAAGGCTCGAACAATATAAATTCGCACAATACACTCCTGAGGTCCACTGTCTGGTAGCTCACGGAACTGGCGAGGAGGAGCTGGAATAGTGGGATCGTCAGGTAATGCGTAGATTTTAAAGGATCCCTAAAAAATAATATAAAGACTCCGTCAAGATAAATGTAGAAAAGCCACTGTGCTAGGTTTGTTTTTTCTTATTTTTCCTACACAGACACACTCTGTTTTATATAGGAATAGCAAAATTATAGCCTGATCCACAGTCACGTAAGAAGTCTTGTTTTACTTTAGTGGGACTTACTACAAAGCAAGGTTATATCCTTAGCCAATTTAAATCAATATAGCTCTTTTGATTTCAACACAGTTACTCAATTTGTTCCAGCTGAGTATATGTAATACATACTTCATATTTGTTTCCCTCTCCAAAAGCATCATTTAATGTTTGGGTTTTTGGCAGTTTTTTGCTTGGGATGTTTGTTTTGTTTTGATCTTTAAAACTCATAAACAGTGTCACAGAAATAGTACAAAATACCTTTCCTAAAAATGTACTTTGCTCAGAACATCTGCAAGTGAAACTTTAGCCCTGTTCAAGAGGTTATCTGGGAAGGTTCTGTTCCTCAGGTACCAGGGAAGTTCACATTAGCAGGAATGGCATTTCTTTTAAATTAACATGTATCGCATTTAGTGTGAGCAATGTGTAGCTGTACCATCCTTGAAAAAGAAGGGCCTGGACCTAAGTAGTTACGAGCATCTGTTGCCCCTATGAACTCATGCATCCATATTTAAGCTGAAATGCTTGCATGTAGATTTACTTAAATGATAACCACTTACATACAAAAGACTGCGTCTAGCATCTGGTTGTTGCTATTATTTGAAATTTACCTTGAATTCCCCCACCACTGATGGATCATCGCTGTCCTCAGATTTGCCTCTGTATAGTTTAAATGTATCACAGAAATCTGTTAAGCTGTTAAATTCAGGCACTTTTTCCAATTCACAGTTGTACACCTTAAAAAAAGAAAATAAAAAGGAAAATGATAAGAGTGAAGTTTAGGAATTATCATACAAAGTATCAGCTCCATCATTGTGGCACTGCAAAGTGTATTGTATGTTTGATGGAGTATCTTAAGGAACCAAAACATTTGGAACTATTTTTATTTTTACATCAAAGTGGAAACAAATGCAATGTTTGGAGAACATGCTATCAAGCTTCATTTAGGCCTGGTTAAAAAGAGAGTAAATAGCATTTCACAAGCTTATCTTTACTTTCTTCGTTAAGTGTATGAGATGAGAAATGAAAGTGGTTTGGCTTCAACTTTTAACCAACAGACAGTAAAAGCACCGATCCTCTGTGTTCACACTTTCTCAATGTATATGCTTATTTAGGATCTGCTTGGCACCCAAAGAAGTCAAGAGTAAAATTCCATTTAGCTGAAGGTTAGATTAAACTCTTAATACGTCTCTTAGTAAGTGCAGTTAAGTAGAAAAGAAGCAAAGCTATCTTCTTAAAACCTTCATCACATTAAGTAGTAATGGATCTTTACACTAAATCATGTACAGTTGAATTTTGAAGAATATTTAAAAAAACCAAAGGGCATAGTCCTGACCAGGTTTTGGGCCTACAAACATTGAAATATGTTAATTTATCCTAAGCAATACCTTTAAAGTGTCATATCCTTTTTTAATATACTGTCCACATTTTTCATGTTCTCCTACTGAAGCATAAAATTTGCTCCACCAGTCAACAATTTCTTCCTCCTTAAAGAAAAGCAAATAAAAGTCTCTTATTTGGGAGATAAAGCCTCTTTTATATCATGCTGTACAGTAGAAACAATGAACAATTAAACATACTAAAAGACAGTATATTCTAAAACTTATTACCAGTTAAGTAATATTAAAGGTTAATCTGAAAAAGACTTAGAATGTAAATATTAAGGCTAAAAAGATGGCATTTCTCTCACCTAGCTTTTGGTATCATCTATAATCCAGCTGCACTGATAGTCAACAGCCAGCCATCTCCAAGCAAGCAATTAATTACTGGTATCTCAATACCTATCTCAAAGGAGTGATTTCTGGAGGTGCATATATTTCTCTCCTGCATCTTCTGGCATTGCAGCACAGCCTAGCCACCTAAGTTCCAGATTACTTAGGTCAAAGGCAGTGAATGTACACTTAGCCGGTGCAGTCACTGTTTCAGCTGTTAAGAAAACACACCATCATACCTGGTATTCATTGCAGGAATTGCAGGACTGTAAGAACTACAGTCAACATGTTGAAAATTTTTCCTGACGGACAAACGTGCTACTTTGCTTTCAGGATTCCCATTTATTTCAAAACCACTGCCATATGATAACAGTGGGACAGACCTGTAACTGCTCTAACCATACCTCATTCCGTTAAAACCAGCGGAGATGACTCTCTGTATCACAACAGAACCTTGCACTTGGAGATCTACCTTAATGTTACCAAATGCAATTGAAAAGAACCAGTAAGTCTTGCCCTCTTAAAAATAACACTTCAGTAAGCCTCATGAAACCCTAGATACTAGCAATCTATACAATCCACTAAGACAGTATTTTTGTGGTGATTTTTATATTTTTATTTATTTAAGTCTGATAATCACTTTGTTCAAGAGAGTGCTATTTTTCTGTATTTATCCATAGGGTTTGCATAAGATAATTATTGCCCCTGAAAACATACTTAAACTGGTAATGAATAGTATTCATTCACTGTGAATGAACAGAATTAATAGTATCAATTCACTGTGTAAATTTGAAAAAATCTTTAAGATTGTTTGGATGTAAAGGGAGTCTTAAAGTATTATACAAACCATTAAATGTGAGGGTTTTATAATATCTAGGGGTTATTATTACAGTCTTGTACATTTTTCCTAAATTTACCATTTTACTATTAATTGTAGGTTTTATGTCAAACATTTTCAGAGATTACTGTTCTCATTCACATGCTTAAAATGCTCATTTAGGAGGCAGTATTGATATACTGATTTTCAGTTGGAGATCTCAGTTACAAGAAAGCATGGTGTAATTTTTAGAAGCAGTGTACATTACCTTTTCCGTAAGCTGCTCATGAGGATAAATTCATAAAAAAAGAGCAAAATAAAAACAATGGTAAGGATATGATTTGTAGAATTTTATACAGTTAAATAGGCTTTAAAAGTTTAGGGTTTGTATATATACGTATGTAAAGTAAGTTACTAACATTAGTAATTTATAAATACCATAAATATTCAGATACCATGTGTTTGGGTTGAGGTTTTTTTGCTGCTGCCAGTATGTCCTAGATACTAAACTATATAGATAAAATATATATAAAGCATATATAAAAATTTAAAAAGCAAGTTTTCAGGAGTGTAAGACATTATCACCCTGTTTTTTCTTCTTCACATAGCAAAGCAAAACTGAGAGAAACTTAGTTTTCTTATTGTATCATTGCAGTGTTACACTCTGGATTCTGTTTGTTGATTTCCGCAGTAGCATCATTCCCTGATGCTACTGTGGAAATCAACAGTAGCATCATCCCAGAGCACTGGATCTGATTTATTTCAGATGAAAAAAGTTTTTAAGAGCACTTACAAAACTGAATCTATTCCAGAGACTCTTTTTCAAACAAATGTCACATACATAAAATTCAAGTTATTTTTTGCCCTTGTTGAGTATTTACTTTTTTATAAGACAATTTGCTAATGCTCAACAGCCTATTCCCTTTTCCTTCTACCATCATTTTTCAATTGGGTACAGGCTGTGGGTTTTCAGGAATCTGAAAAAAAAACTGTGAAGAATTATAAAGTACAGTAACAACCAGTATATGTGTCTACAGATTCATCTGTCTAAGTGTAGTAACAATCTGCACAATCCAAAATGCTTCACCTGTTAAATCACAGATATCGTAATTATGACCCAATAGTCCATTAAGAGCAAGCATCATGCATCCCATTTGGAAGCCATGATTAGCAAGTGTGATTTGTGCTAGTGTTTACATATCATACCTTGTGTTTTAATTTAGAGGCATAATCAATAAATTCTTGCGCAAAGCAGAAGAAATATGCAAAACATTTTATGAGTACAAGCCAAATGCATCAATAGGTCAGGACATCACCCTGGTATATCATACTCACTTACTCCCATTTCTATTCTGTAAGGAATTGTCTTGCTAGCATGTTCAGGTCTACTGTATTTTAGTAGTCTTCTCTAATTTCAAATCAGAAATACAGTGTAATTTTTTTCAGATTTGCATGGGACTGTCAAATTTTCTACAGACAATTAAAGTGATTTATTCTCAGAAACCATATCATCATCAATGATCTGCAAAACTTACAGGCAGAATTTGTGAGGTAATTTTGAATACTTTGCCATATTTAAATTTGACTTTGTTTAGACATTGGTTTGTAACATTGACAACATGAAGGGTAGCTTCCATAATTATGCAATAATAATTTAAACTCCCAATTTAGAGCCTTTTCACAAAATAAGTTGTGTAGAACTCTGAATCTTTCATCAAAGCATAACGTTGGAAGAGTTTAAATTAGGGTTTGTGGGTTTGTTTTTTTTTTCCCCTTGATATACCTTCAAATGTCTGTTCAAATAATGCAGTTGGTAGCTTTGGAAAGAAGTAGTTAAGAAAAATTAAATCAAAACCTTAAGACCTTCTTTAAAAATTCCCAAAGCAAAAAAATGAGTCTTCAATATTTGGATGTTATTGTTACTAAAACTGGTAAGCAGCATGTGCTCACAGAATGCCAAAACGCAGAATATGACAAAATGCCGTATGATAAATTTGAGATTTTGGAGTGAAATATTCAAATGGTAAAGACCATGTAACTGGTAACTGTCCTTTTTTGTTTTAATGAACCCAGTGACTTCACTGTAGATTGTTACACATGACATCTTCAAGACACTAATACTGAACTATTAGCTTTCTTGAAATTATGGAAGAAAAATTAAGAGATGCAGTGGATCTCTAGAAAAGTTAGAGTTAGAATTTTATTTACTGCAGATTTATTTTATTCTCCAGAAAGTAGACTTTTAAACAAAGTTTAAATATTAATAATGTGGTTAAATAATTCCTGTTGACTTTGGTGCTTTTAGTACATAAATTCCAAATAAACTGACACACACAAAAAGTTCATGCATATTGTACACACATAGTAAGACTTTCAGAAGAAGCGTTCATTAATATTTTTAACTAATCATACTAGACTTATGAGCATCATCTCCAAAATCTCTCTATGGAATAATTGCCAAGAGAAGTACAGCCTCATGACCACACCACGTAACATTCTTCCCCCATCTGACCCCATTCTGGTCATCTCCATGCATTAGCTCTGTACATACATACATACATGCACTGTTGTTGGAGAAGCCATTTTGCGGAGTGCTGTTGACATACTGCTTAAACACTGGAAATTGGAATGTAATTGATGAAATTTTGGCATTTTGTGTCCTCAGGGTGTTGTCTGCATATCACTTGCACGTTCCACAGTTGTACTTATTTCAATTTGAATAGTTTTGAATATTCTTTCCTCTCTCATATGGATGCCACCATTGAATCTAGTGTTACAATCTACTTGGCTTGGGTGATGTCAAACTCCAAAAGAAATTGTGTTTCACCTTATGTAGCATTTTAAATTTTCCCTCTTATAGTTGAAATCAACTGCACAAATTAATCATTTTTGCCAGTGAGTTCAAAGTGCTAAGCTTTCTTTATTCTTTTAATCCCTTTTCTGAAAATTGTTAAAGGAAATAAAAATTCTCTGTACCAGCTATAAAGCATTTATATTAGAACAGAAGGCCTAATTCAGATAAAAGTTAGAGACTGTTCTAAATTAAATATTAAGAACAATTTACATGTATGATGAAAGTAACAACAAGAACATGGTCTATGAGATACTTAAATGAGAATCTGAATATCATGACATTAAGATACAGAAGAAGAAATGAAGAACAATGCAATCAATAATATACTCAAATAACAGTGAGAGCCTGAAAGTTTAAATTTAGTAGTATTTACTTTGGGACATCTGTAACAAAATAAAACAATTTGCATTTTTGAAAAATCAAGTTGTGGATTAACAGCCTACAAAATTACTGTATTAAAGGGCATAACTTCTGTGCTTCCTTTAAAATAACAGAAATTTATGAAAACACCTTCTAGATAGGGGAACATTTTATAGTGCTAAAATAATTGAATTTTTTTCCTTGAAAATGTACTGTCTGGTATTTGTCTTCATTCATGTTTCAAATCAAGAGTAAAACTCTACAAGCTGAATTATATTTTACCTGGAAAGTAAAATTGTATTGTGGTCCTGAAAGAATCAGAGCAGTAGAGAGATTTGCAAAGCACAAGAGAAAAGGAAAGAAGTGTTAGTGCAGAAGAAAATGTTTCAGTGGTATCAGTTATGGGTGACTTCATGGTAAGAAAAGCAAAGCAATGACTGTGATAAAATGAATGATTGAAGGGCTGTGTTATCATGGCTTTGATTCTGTACCCACCAAAGCATACACCTACTTCTAGCTCCTTTATTTAGAACCGCTCAGTCTGTGCAAGATCAGGCTGCTCTAACCATCACCAGTGGACAACTGGGTGATTCTATCTTATGCTTTCAGTAGCTATTGAACAAGTGAGCTCACTCTTAAGCTACTGGGCAAAATTTACCATGCACAAAAAGCTACAGTTTGATGCTTACTATATGAAAACAGAGGTTAAAATGATTAACATATTTCCTTTGCTTTCCTGTCACAAAGCAACTTTGTTCCATCTGGCTTTTCAGAAGGTTGTGTATGTTTCTGACAATTTTGCTGTCTAGATACTTTCTCAGAAATCACAGGCCTGAAGAAGAAAGTCAAGCATCAAATTTCAAAGATTACCTGAGCTGCTAGCAGCGGCTGTGTGTCTTCCATTTCAATTACTGTCTCCTGGCGAGGTGCAGCAGAGAGTAGACTAACTGTAAGCCAAAGATTGTAAGGCAATATGTTGTAGGAAAAATATCTTACTAAAAATTTTCATCATAGTTGAAATCCAAACAGTTACAGAATATGTAAAAGAATTCATTGGCTGTACATTTAATCCTCTAAAGAAAGCAATTAGCTGCCATGTTTTACTAAAAATACACAATATATTTTTGTGCAGGATATGCAAACATTTCTCAGATATGTAGAATTAAAAGGGAATAAAACCTGGAAAAAATATGGAGGAAGCATTGTATTTAGAGCATTCTTGCTGGAATACTGGATCCAGGGGTAATCTGCAGGTAGTTAAATTCCAAGTTGATACTAAAGAGGAACTTCAGGGAACCAGTATACTAAGCCCCAGAGTGGACTTGCCTTTGCATGCTGTCCTCTTATGCTCCACAGAATACTGCACTAATTAATACTCTGAGTTAGATTTTTTTTTTTCTTTCAGATCACATTATCTCCAAATAAGTACACCACATGAGATGGTCATCATCAGCACAGTATGCAGACTGAACACTGAAGATTGGTTACTCTAGCATCTCATAAGAAAACAGAACTTTTAATTTTCTAGCTGTCTACCTTTCAGTTGTGGTGCAATGTCTTCTGTAGTAGCGTAGGGGTCACAGCGAAAGCTTTCCAGTAAATCAATAGTACACTGTCCCACAACAGGCTTCCGTCCAAATGGTCTGTGGTCTATTACTTTAATAACAAGAGATGGACTGTATAACTCCTCTTTTGGCAAAAGCTAAAAATGAAAGGTTAGAGTTTGGTTATAATGCAAACAGAAGGAAATGAAGAATAAAGATTTCCCCCCTAAATTAGAGCTGCTATTTAATTTATTTAATATTGTATTACTATATTCTATGGTTGTATAGTGAATGAAAATTTCTATCCTTACATTATGATTCAATAAAAGTCAGAAAGAATAATTTTAATTGCCTCAAATCTTGAATTTTCTTGATTCTTGCACAGCTCCCATCCTAGCAGTAGGAAAGTTGCCACAGGTAAACTGATTTCTTTTCAAAGAAATATATATACTCTGCACTGGATTGTGCATATAACATTGTAGAATTCATCAATGACTGTACAGACATGTTTACATGATATTTATTAGAATTTTCAGGCTCGGTAAATTGCTTATGTTAGGTCAAAAAAGGATGTGCAAGTTTTTCTGTTTGTTCTTGCATAACAAATCCTTGACCTTTAGAAGTATGGGATAACTGATTTTCTGATTTTGCTATAGATAGCTGCTATATAGTTTTTTGCAACGTACAACTTTCATGAAGAGAACAGAAGATGGAAAATTTGGTGTCTTTTTGAGGTTTTTGATCACCACAGATTCCACCATTTCACCCCCACATTCCACAATGAGACTTGGAGACATAACAGGTGCCAGTTGGTAGTTTTTCATGTTCCGCAAACCCCAAGCCAGAATCTGTAAAATAAAAATCAATATAAGCAAAAGTGGGAGAGATATCAATATGCTTACTAGGATATTCAAAAAGTAGGAAAGAAGAAATGAAGTCTTTTCAATAAAAAAAAAAGTGACTGGCAAAATATTTGAAGGTTGCTGTCCTAGGAAAGTTGATGGAAAAAATGAAACTTAAAAACACTTAAAGAAAAAAATTCCCCATATTTCTCACTGTATTTTTTTTCTTTAAGTAAATACACAAACTACTATATAGAGGATGAGATAACTGTACTTGTATCCAGTTAGTTTAAGAATAAACCATACCTCAACAGCAGTGAGTTGAACTACTGGTCTGATTCCTTGAGGTACCATGTAAAGCTTTGGTGCTCTCTGTGATGGAAGAATTGGAAGGTTGGCGCCACCCTATTAAGACACAAACATAAGTATTAGATTCTCTCATCTTCCTTAAATGAAATACCTTACAAGTATTAAGACAATTCTTCGCATTATGACTTGCTGTTAAAGAATATATAATATATCATATTATATATACACACAAAAAAATATATACATAAGAAATATATACCTTGTCCCTCAAAATAAGTTCTGCAGCAAAAAGAATGTCTCCACTAGCTTTGCCATTATTTATTACAGGATACCAGAGCAGTTTTGGTGTGATGTCCTCTTCTGGGATTAACTTGACCACAGGGGAACAAACACTTCTTCCAAGGAATTCATCTTTACCCTGAAACCGAAAATAGCCATCGTAGCCACTAATGTTATTCTGAATTAATATAAATAAATAAAAAAGCAATCAGGGAAAAAAGCATTCACCTACCACTTGGTCACTGTCAAAAAGTTCAAGAACAACATTAGGTGGGTTTTGGGCTACTGTTTGTGGGTCCCCATAGATCTCAATTTCATTAAATATGAGAGTTTGGTCCCATGTAGGATTTAGAGTTGAATGAATGATCTCAGTTGTTTTGCTTTGATGGAGGAAAGAAACATGAGCATACGGATCTGAAATATCATGCAAAGATTAAAAGCACAGAGTTACAGACAAACAAAATGTCATCAAGCCACAAGGCACACAAGCACAGTTTTTATCAAATAAAGTATGTTATTTTTCTTCTGTCATTACCAGTTCTATAAGCCATTCTATATAAAGCAAGTCCACACATACACATAATTTACATTTAATAGGGCAAATTCCAGTTCATTAATAAATAGTTTCTTTTATACAAGTCTTGATTAGCAGAGTAATAAATGAAAATGATAAAAGATCTTGCAAATCAGAAAGAAAACCTGAAAACTAAAATGAAACACTGGCTATACTAATCTCTTAAATGTAGTCCATAGAAGCTTTTTTTTTGTTGTCTCCACTGATATACAACTGTACAGCCTCATAAATAATACAAAGAAATAATTCTAGTTCTGACTAGTTTCCAAACAACAAATTCTCCCAGGCTATATTGCTCAGATCAAGCATTGGTTTCAAACGTGCTTATTAATAGCAACCTCTTCTTGTGAAACAGCTGAATGATTAAAGTGGTCTAGGCTCAGTGTTTGGCAGGTCTTTAAATCATCTGGAGTTCTGTAGAAGGTATCTGATGATGGTCATTAACATTTCCTGTACAAATTGCAATTACTAAGGACTAGAGGCTATTTTAAAGGTTATCTTTAGGTCAGTTTCAACAGCTCCTCGCTAGGTACCTGATCAGAGTTTTACAAAATTTGGCTAACTCTTCAAAACTAGTTTTAGAATGAAATAAAATGTAGATGTGCTAATTTATGTGTGACTGCATCTGAGGTACCTATCTTGAATTCTACATATGTGAATTAGAGGCATTTATTATTGTTTTTGTATTGAAGTGCTGAATATTTAAGTAAGACTAAATACACACAGGCAGCTATACAAAACCCCCCTAATTTCAGAAAACAGCATTAAAATATCTATAGCATTATATCTTCTGTAACAAATTAACAAATGCATTACACTTACTTAATTATTAATTAAAACAGGGAAGAAAAGAAGGATGCAAATGGAGGCTGATGGGGAAAGAAAATTCTAAGGTGCCCATTTCATCTTTATCTGTGCCTGAACTTATTTAAAGGAAGTGTAAAGTCAGATTCTTACAGAATCTAATTTCAATTTGCTCTTTGACTTCTCAGTAGAATTTTAATTCTAATTAGCAAAAATTAAATACTTGGTAACCTGAGTATTGAATTAGCCTGACTACAAAGACACCAGACGGATACAACACTGTTGGAATACCTAAGAGCTGGAAATAAAAGGGTAACAGGTACACTTGTACGAACAAAAGCTTTGCTTATTAGCAAGGCACACTGTAGTTTTCTACCAGTTCGTCTCAGTAATGAATTGATATAAAATAGTGAACACTGAGAGGCAGTTGGTGACGTAACAGCCACCCAGCTCTTCATCCTTGCTTTTGTGCAAGCTTCCTGCAGGACAGCTGAGGAACTACATGTAGGCTTTGGTTAGAAGGAGGAGCTAAGACATACTGAAAGGATTGGTCATGGGAAATTCAGACCTTACTTGAATTCCCACTCCCTCACTGAGAATTCGTTGGCAGCAGCAGGTGCTGCACATTCAGAGCACTTATTTTTTGGCAGCTTCTGGGGAAGTACTAACCAAATCTAGATCATATGTAATGAAGCTGAGACTTTCTTTACGGAGTAGTTTCAGTAGCTGGGACCTATGCACAGACCTTAAGGATTTAAGATAATCTATAGCTAAGCTAAATCAAGTTACTAGTTCATTGCAGAAATGTTTCTTCTGCACCACTAGCAGGATTTTTCCATACCTGAAAAACTGTCTTTGTCTAAAGCCATGAGGTTTCTTGCTTGGTAGACGTAACAGCGAAGGTGGTAAGTATATACTCCTGTATCAAATTAATAAAAAGAGTTCAGCTGGATTATACAGACTTCTTTTCTGTAATGAAGATATTTTGAGTTTATAAAAATGCCTTACACATATGAACTCAAGCACAAGCACTGTAGTAACATTTCTGCTTTTCTTTTCCAGTGACAAGTGTACTAATACCAATGAGGTAGCACCTGAGAACATCTGTTCTAACACAACTTAAAGAAAAAATTATAAAAACCACTAATGCTATTTGGGCTTTTTTCACCGTACGATTATCCAAAAATCCTTCTATTCAAAAATTGCTGTTTGAAACAGTGTGATAATCTAGCTCCTCTGAAGAGAATCAAGAACTGTTTTGTGCTTAATAAAAATATTCACCACAGCCCTTGCAGGGACCTGGGAGTTTCACATTTTTAGCTATTAGGTCTAGAAAATTATTCCAATTGCAACTCTGTCTCTTTGGCTAAACGATTAAAAAAAAAAAAAGTCACTGCAGACAAGGTGCAATACCTTAAAAGGAAGATGTGAGAACAGCCCAAACCCAGGACAGCATGTGGCTATGTTACTACAGATTTTCTTTAAAAGATGTCAGCTCTAACCCTTTCAGCCCTTGGAAAAATTGGAGCCACTCTTAGCCTCAATGGGCTGAAACCTCTGAACTCTGGCAGGAAAAGGTGCCATTTTCACCCTATTGTGGTCATTAATTAAAAGAAACTACAATAATCCTCCTCAGTTTCGGAAAGACAATTTTTAAGATTTAAGCACCCATTCTCGGCAGGGAGATCAAGTTATATAGAGTTCAAATAAAGACAAGTGTTCCAGTCAGAGATCCACAAAAAGGATTTTGAGTCTTAGGAGTGGATGGGATTGGCCTCTATTCCTATTAACTAACACCAGTGGCTCTTGCGTCAGTGTCTGTGCTTTTGTGAATCCCATTACAGTGATTCCAAGGCATTTAACACCAATCCAGGTTGGCAAAGTCACAGTTTTGTTCACTTTGCCAGCCCAGCTACATGGTCTTACTGCTTCCTCTGGCTCAGGCATTTGTCTGACCCTGCACTGAACTGGTGAAGTGAGCTAAACAAGCAAAAATTTAACTGTACGTACACATTCTCTGCTAGTTTAGCTCACTGCATTGTTATGGAGGGACCCTAATGCTAAAAATGCATCATTTAAGGCAGCCTAAAATTCAGGTGCTGCAACAGTTAGCTTTAGAATTCCTGTCCCATACAGGTTTTAGAAATGTCTGCATGACAGTGGGCTGAAATATTGAAATGACTAACAGTAATTTTTCTATTAGTAGCCTAAATAGGGCCCAATTAAGGATCAGACAGTAATTATAACAGAAGGTATATAAACTTAGATGTAAAAGAGAAAGAACTACAATTCTGTTTGAGACCAGTGAGAAACAGACATGATTTTTAAGAAAGGAATTGTTAAGGAACCTACTGTCAAAGTAGCAGGAAACAAGTGGTGTATTGGCACCAAACACCTTTGTAGCTGACTCCTTGGTTTTGTCTGAACTCTTCCCTTCTCCATCGTCGACACTAGTGTCTGCTCCCTGACGTTATATACATAAAAAAAAATTACTATTTATTTACAAACATAGAAGGAACCTGATAAAAGTGGACTGTGTGTGGAAATACACGTGTTTCAGTCTCTCCTCCATGACAAGGAGAAATTTACTTTCCTGAGTAGACGTACTTTAAAAGATGGTTATTCATGTCTGAAGGTCATTTCTTGCTGCCATTGAAGCTGTGCAGAAATCAGATCCAGTCATTTTATCTTACTTTCCAGAATGTGTTCTTTCTGGAGATACACTAGCTACCTATCAGCTCTTACCGAAGGAGAGGTTGCAGATCTTCTGGACTGCGCTGTTGCAGAGAACTGCTCTAAGGCTCTAACCTAGCCCTAGCCCAGGAAGTATATAGTCAGAAGAGAAACTGAAACAGGAATCTTTAAACTCTGTGAAACCAAATAAGTGGAGAAGGAAAATGCTATCGATGAATCATGGGTTGACATTTGGTGCAAAAAAGAGAAACAAATCAAGAAAAAAGTGCTAACTTTTGCTAATGCTATACAACCAGACCCAGAATCATTATTTTAGAAGAACAAAGTAGCCTTCTCACATTATTTGCTCCAATTTGTATTTGGGTAAATAGAGCTTATCTATGAAGCTGTGTTAACCTGAAAAATTGAAGAATAATTTACATTCTGATGATCTATGTGCAATGTATGACATTCTGGCTTCTGCAACACTTTGCTATTCTTTCTTGGGTTTGGTTGTTTACACATGCAAATATTAATCAGGGACAGCTATTTCAATGCCTGTTGTTTCTTGTGCTGATGTTAATACATCTAAATTAAGTGCATGAAAAGCTTGAGCTATCTTTTCACTTTACTTATAGAAGGCTCATCTAATAATTTGGCCTTTTGCTCTAAATCTCATGTAATGTAATAATAAAAATAATTTGAAAAATAAAGTAATAATCATGTTCCCTCTCAGACTTTAAACAATTTAAACAATATAAACTGTATTAGTTCCTCAGTTATATATCAATCTAACAATTCAGGGACTAAAATAGCTGATATACTTAATTGTTTATTTACTGTAAATTAAAAGATTGAACATTTAAAGACTTTTTTAATAGTCTGTCCCTTACCAAAGCACCTTCAAGTTTAAAGATAGCTGCTGCACCATGTGTCTCTGAGGGAGCCATTTTTCGTCTCCATCGTCTTCGACGGAAAGTATCAGAACTGCGTTGTTTCCAGTGAAATTTCCAGCCAATCAAGGAAGCATATTCCCATCCTTCTTGATCTTCATATGATGACATTCCCTGGAAGATATAAATCCATGTTATCCACAGTGCTGTATAAATGTAAAGAATAAAATAGCACTTGCTCTGGCAGGCATAATAATCCCCTCATAAACCAAAGCTGAAAGCATCAATTTACAAAAAGAAAAAGAAAAGGAATATAATGAAAACATAAAAGGTTGTTCTAGGGAGGATTTTTTGGTATTTTTTTCTTTCTTTTCTTTCCTGAATGGGAAATAAGTAAACTTGTGTGGATTTAAAAAAAAAACAACCCAAACTCAAACTGTTACAATGCTCAAGTCTCTGACTGCATCTCTCTTCTGCTTACCCTTCCTGCTGTTACTGCTTGAGCTGGATCCCTCCTACGTTTCCGCACCAGTCTTCGTCGTCGATGTGTATGGTACATTTTCTCTGCAGGAACCCATGACTTTGGTTTAGCGTCTGGAGGAATAGTAATTCCATATTCCCATCCTGAAACAGAATTGATTAGTTAGTATATTTCCAGAAACACAAGCAAGATACAAAGAAGAAAAGCATGGGAAATAGAGTTGTTGTACTTACAGAGGATGAAGCTTTAGTCACACAAGACTATTTGATATTGCAAACCCTAAATGCCCAATAGCTAGGGGGCCACTGATGACATTTTATGATGATGCTATGTTATAAGATACATGACAAAAAATATCTCAACATTAAAATGTATACAATATATTTTAAGTTCTTTTCTTTGCATTATTTTTTCAAATGTTAGGTGTATTGGTATCACATTTTCATACTTCATCACAAGGAAAACTCATCCTTAATTTTAAATAAGAGTGGAATGTCCTGTGTACTCTTGCAAGTCCAGCAGCTTGGCATTTAAAGGAACACCAAGTATTTGAACTCTGATCATAAAACTTTAAGAATTGGTAAATCTGTATTTTGGCTCTACATATCATAACTCAGCTGTCAAATATCTAGGACTCAGACTTTTATTTAGATTGATTTCTTATTAAAAAGTTACTGCAGACTCCTAGCAGAGGTTCCAGTTAAGACAGTTATCAGTACTCTTTAAGATAAATAAAACCTGTTTTTCTATTCCAATAACTATTTACTTTATTTATATTTAAAAGCAATAACTATTTGAGAGTTTTCGGCTTTTTTAGAACAAATTAAAATTCATTATAGTTTTGCAAAATTCTGGGCTTCCCAGAACCTTCTATGACCTTCCCAGTTGCTTTTATTATTCATTTTGTTTTCAAACCATCAAAGCAATGTCCTGCAAATATTTTGCTGTAAGAGATTCACTGCTTTTTCCTATTGCTGTGGAATTCAAATTACAGTCTTATGAGGTTGTTTATATAACAACTTTCTAAGCTGGTAACAGTTTTAATTTAGCGTAAGTAACAAGCATCTAAAAGTCAAAGCAACTCCAGGAAAAATGGTGGCTCTATGCATACAGGATTTTCTAACCTGCTCACATTAGTAGTACATCTAATCTGAAAACCTCTGTCTAGCAGCATCAGATTCTTCACAGAAAGAATTTGAAGTCTTTTTCATTTCAGAATTGTCATCAGTTGCATACTGCTGAGATTTCATCCTGATCAGTCTTGCCTGGGTCCCTTCCCACACAAATTCAGTGGAGTTATTTTGCTCTCAACAATATAGGAATCCTTCATACACTTGTGCGGTGTGACCAACACACATAGGTTCCTGGCTTCCTTTGGTCCTCAGACCTCCTGATTCACCTCTTAGCATTGCTTGGTGACTCATTCCCTGGCTAAAGGCTCCCAGTTAAATTACCAGATAGATCCAAACCTGGCTTTACTACATATTCTTGGTGCAATTACAGAGGCTTTATGTTTCAACTTCTGAATTCTCTAAAAGCAACCCAATTACTGCTACTAATCCACATCTTGCAGGCCTGATTCTAACCAGTAGACTGCATTAACACTGGACTTGGGAAAAAATGTTTTGGAAACTTATCAAATAACAGTGGGTTCTATTTCCAAGCACACTGTTTATACATACAGTTTTCCCAACTGGAACCTCTCATGTTAGTAGATTGTTGTTTGCATTAGCCTTAATTTTTTTTAATTTGTCAAAGCTTTTGGCTCAAAATTGTCATCAGCTGCTGAAGTTAAGATCAATGTTCAACTTCTTAGATTATGTGATTCTCTCTCTAGTAGGCACTTATAAATACATTTATTACATATACTGTTCAAAATATTGGTCCCTTTTGATCCAAGAAAGGCTCAATGAGAACAGTGAGTTTGATGGAGAAGTTATTAAAATGGAAATAGAAACAGATGCAGACAGTGAATGCTTCCTCAATGTCATTTTATCTGATTCCTTAAGCAACTATTAGCCAAATATTTCCTTGACATTTTTCCATAGGGCAATCACTATCATGCTCAGGACATTGCTACAGCCTTGACATGTGTCCCCTTCAGTATAGGCTATGACAGATTGCCCTAATAATCAGCAGATAAACAGTAAATCTTACCATGCTCATCCACTGCTCGATTTAAATCGGATTTCCAAGCATCATCTTCCCACATCCACCCAAGAGGACACGTGAACTCACGTGGTGGTGGAGCTTTTTCTCCATTCTTTTATGTAGGGGAAACATAACAGTTTGTACATTAATAGATGAAATACACTGTGTAGCAAACCCTAGAACTCCTCTTAAACCTTTACTTATCCAGTGAAAAATATGTCTCACCACATCTGTGTAACTCTCTTCAGCTGCTTTCCATTCCCCTCCAGGATAGCGACTCTCATTTTCATATACTTCATCAGTAAACTCAGTATGGCCAGCATCAGCTTCAGTCAACAAACTGCAAGTCCAAAGCAAATATAATACTAAACCAAATGTATTTTAATTAGCTACAGAAGATATATAGAAACAATGTACAGCATGTGCACACATGCTGGAATTCTGGATTGTCCATCTTTGTGAAGTTCTATTTATTAGTAGAATACAGTGTAGCCCCTCATATATATGAGGGCTACTTTTTTCCTTAGAATGTCTCCTTAAAACTGAAGTAACTCCAGTAGCAATAGGAGGAACATTACTCATAAGAATGGGTGCCTAACAGAAGTGTTTTAACTGCTCTGTTATTCAGGATCTATTTTCAACACTTCCTCTTGGAAAAAGAAAAAACATCATATATTTAAGTGTAGGAAAACCCAGACTGTACATGGCAGTTATATGCACATCTAATTTTTATATATCTAGCTATGCACTAAAGTCTGGCAATGTATTTAATTTTGTTCCCCTTTATGCTGTTGAAAAGGCAGGTAATCAGTTGGCTAATATTTTTCTAACTTGCAAGTAAAAGAAATAAGAGAACATTAAATCAGACAAAATAGCCTTGATTTCCACTTGTGATTAACTGTGATTCAGAAAGCACTAAAGTATGTTCTAAAATGCCATCTGCTGGTCAAATAGAGCCACGCAGATTATTTTCCAATAAAAGCAGATGCAAGGCATAAACATGCTTATGCATTTTAACAATAGGGGGTTTTTTCCATTATCTGAGAAAATATCTCCATGTCTGTTATTGTTTTTCTTCATGTCAGATTATTCACTGAAATAAAAACTATTCATTGAGTATGAAAATAAATCCATCCAATCATACCTATAAACTGATACGATTTAAAAATGGATCAAATAATAGCACAGCATTTTCCTACACAGTTTTTCTATAGCAACAGTCTTGTAGTTTTTTTACCACCAGAACACAAGAATTTAAAATGTGTGAACCTTTTCTTTTAAGAAAGAAGACGACCACCTCTTTCTTATGCTGTTTTTTGTTTATGAAACAAATAATTTACCCAGTCTGGTTTAAAGTGTGGCAACACAAATAGCTGAACTGGCACAACTCAGGAGTTGAAATCCTCTGACAGCAAGACTGAACCTGCTAGAGCTGGGGAATGATTGACAAATCATGAATTTGGTCCACCAGGGGAGGAATTGTCATATGGCACTACAACCTTAGGCTCTGAAAACAACTTCTGCCTTGAGTCAGTTTGAGAAATAACCTGTGACAGTTGTTTAACGAGGGCAATGAAACTTCTCAACATTTAGTGAAACAAACACAAAACCCCATCACTGTGTATGAACAACCATGCAAATGCGATAATGGTGTTGATACAACATGAAATACAGCCTTATACTGGATGTCAGGGTTAAGTTTCTATCTATGGAAGATCTAGCTATCTAAGGGTCTTGTCTGAAACCACCACAGCAGCATCCAAGAACCTCATACAGACATAAATGATCCTCACAGTAGCATTCTAGAAAAGGAAAACTATTATTATCCCTTTTTTAAATATGAGGCACTGAGATACAGAGAACATAAGCAATATACCCATCATCACATGGGGACTTCTAGACCATAAGCTGGTTCCTAGGAAATGGATGCATTCTTTTTGCCGTATGTTTTTTTTACTTTTTAAAAAAGGTAACATGAATTTTAGTGTTATTAACTAGCTTTGACTATTGGCCAGCTTTTCCTGTCCCAAAAAGTTCAGCTTAAAATCTCTTTCTCCACCAAGAAAACAGAGGGGATCTTTTACTCTACACTCTGAGATTAAGATCCTTTATTCCTGCCTGATTAAAATTAAAATAATCTGACCTTCTTTCAGGATCAACAATCCATTCTCCTTCCCACTCCCAGCCCTTTGGAGGTAGAAAGTACTCTCTTTTCAGTTTGATTTTTCCCGTGACATCAGAAAATTTGTGGCGACCAACAAGTCCTGAGGTGCCCCACTTTCCAAAAAGAAAAGCCTGATTTTCATACTGTTTGAGAAGAAAGAAAAAAATCAGGAATAATAAAAAGCTTTTAGGAGAAAAAACGAGAGATTAAACTGTTACAACTGGAATATTCCACTATACATTTCCTTCCTCTGAAATTAAGTACTCCCCACATTACTCTGCAACATCATGATTAATTTCTTTATTTTCTTCTATGCTGCCTGATAAACAATGATTCCAGTGCTAAACTAAACTGTCTTCTCAGTTTAACGCCGCTCTAAAACTAGTCAAACTTCCTCCAGATTAAAGCTTTGTTAAATAAAATTCCATTACATTATTCATACAAGTTTCTTCTGTTCCCCTAAGTGCATGATCTTCTCATTCTTTTCCAACCCAAATCTCCTCTTATTTATAATCTCTTCTTTCGTAACATGTAAAACTGAATTATAGTCTTATCCTGGAAGCTACCAGAGGCATGATTCTGATGTCCGTTTACACAGTATACTTCCCTTTATGCTAATAGAATTATTTGTAGTTTATTATGGTCTTGAGTTTCCTGCTCTTATTCCTGTAAAATTGTTGGATTGCTGTAGGAAGAGCAAAAAATTGAGATATTCAGTAGCCTCTTAAACTCTATACTTAAATAATGGCTTTGAACATCCATTGACTATTTTAAGTGACTTACTACAGCCTTACTAAACATTTAAGCATAGGTGCAATGGTGCACAAACCTCCATAAAAATTTCATTAGCTATTATACTGATATTGGATTATATGCACTATTAGGTGATGGGGCATATAAACGACTGTTTACTGTTATAATTCAAAATCTCTACTATATGCTGTGGGACTATTTCAAGCATTTTTATTCCAAATTTATTAACTCTTACCATTGAAATGTGATCATAGTATAGCCTTTTGTCAGCAAAATCTACTGGTTTAGACCAGTTTTTCCTGTAACAGTAAATTTTGTACTGCTACAAAAGAATCATTATTAAGCAAAACCACTTGTATCCAAGTATCATTTGTAGAAGTGAAGAAGCAATTAAAATAAAAGCATTATGCACATGCCAAAACATAATGGTCTAGATCCCAATCTTAATTACACTGATAGGAATCTAAAATAAATGTCTTTGAAATCACTGGAGTTAACCAGATTTTCACCTGATTAACCAGTTCAAAATCTGGTTTGCTGAAGTTCATCTGGTAGGCACAATGGACTTGATCATTCATTGCATTGAATGGGGTCTACTTGTTTCAGTATAATAAATACTACTCTCCCTTTCTGCCCAGCATGCCAAAAAAAAATTCAAGAGAGGTCCAATTTCATTGAATTTGTAACACTCATGTCCAAGTTTTAAAGTAAGAAAGCAATGACGGACATACCATTTCTGCAAAAACACTGAACGTTCCCTCTGCAAAGCTATTAAACTTCTTTTCAACTGCACTGAGCCCAAGCCAAATGTTAATTCGTAACTCCACAGGCATTTTGGCATCTTTCATCTTGTCCTGTGGGTACTGGCACACGAACAAAAAAGTTATTCTTTGTTATGTTATGTAGGTATTGTAGCTTTCAGTAAAATATATACAATAACATAGAGATATGAGTAATAGTACATGATTTACTTATCTCTTCCTGTACTGCATTTCCTCAAAAGCCAGTAAGAAATAGTTCAGGAAGGAAACATTCTGTAAATGGTACCTGCCTAAGGCATGCAAAAATCAAACACAGTAACAGTACATCCCTATTCCTGTATATTCTCTCCCAAGTTTCATCCAGCAATGAGTTTTTAATTATGACAATAATTTAAAACATCAGTGTTGATGTTAGCATTTCTCATCAGGAGACTCTGGAAATACAGAGGTTAGCCAGAACAGTTCACTACATGTAGGAGCAATGCATCATAACATGCATGTTAAGGAGGCTTGCATAAAAACATGAAGATACAGGCCTGTCTGCATTGAAGCATTAATCAATATAAATGCTAGTTCATGGACAAACTCTGTAAATGGTATTGTTCTCCAGTCAGATTGCCTTTTTTCTGGTTAAGTTTATTCCGATTAGAGACAATATAAACTTAAATGAAGAAAGGCATTCCTATTCAAGAGTAAGACTCAACGCAGAGACATACTAAGGAACTTCTGGGTTTAGACACACTCCTCTATTACTTGCAGAAAACCATCCAATACTTTGAATAGGTTTTTGGAACTTCTCTGACTTACACTAATTATTCCCTCCAAAAGTCTCCATTCACGTTCAACCCCAAAACACCAACCCCAGTAACAGTTTAGAAGTCCTATCACAATTTTGAGCTCTTTCAGAAAAGCCTCAGAATTAGGGGCTGGTGCCGATTCTAACTGTCTTATGATGAACTTTACATTACCATTTCTATGATATTTTGAAGAAGCTATATGCACAGCTGGCTTTTAATCTGTCCTGACTTTTGACACCTCATTGTTCATCATTTGCGTGCATGTTTCATGCTCATGTCAGAAAGCATCACAGTTTAGGGAGTTAGAGTTAATTATTTTTTAAGGGGGGAAAAAAAAAAAGTACCTTTAGGAAGATTGTTTGGGTCTTTCCACAATATTTACCAGACGATTCGGGGCTCGTTGTGGAATACAGCACTTGGTGTGCAGGAACACGAGCATAAGCCAGTCTTTTCTCCCCTCGGATCATCCATATGATTACATCAGGCATACTGTTTTGTGGCTGTGGATTATTTGTGGGGAAAAGAAAGTTAAGAACGGTAATTAATAGAATGTTAAACTAATCTAATGCATAGACAAAAGAAACACAAATTAGGGTTTATGTCAAAGGATTTATCACTTAGAATCAATAATTAACATGAATTTATGATAGAGGAAAACGTTTTACTTTGCAAGTAATGCAATATATAGTTCCAAAACAATTATTAAAAATACCATTGAGATTGCTGGAAAGCAAATAAGTTTTATTAAAAAAACCCAGTTCTTATATCTTTTGCAGATATTTCTAGAGACATTTTGTATCTCAATTCCTCTATAGTGACTATTGTGACTGATCCCAAATGTTATTGCTTTGGATTGACCTGCTACATATTTAAGAGCTTGCAATGCTTCCACATTAAGGCTAGATCATCATAAGACTTTTAGCAGAAGGCAGAAACAGCCTACTATCTTTTTGCAGCTTTGTGCACAGCTTTGTATGCTAGCTGCAAAGTCTGCCAAACTAACTGCTCTTTTTAAAAAAGTATCAGCAACTTCTCAAAGCAGAAGTGACAAAGAAAAAATGAAACATTTCTACAATGTTGTGAAAACCAGTTACAAGATAACAGAAATGAAAACTTAGTATGTTGCTGGATATTAAAAACCACAGAAACAAACAGATTTAACTTCGTTAGAAGTTGATTACTACGGCTAACAAGCTGCAGAAGTACAGCATATATCCTGCAGTCCCTGAAACAGCAATGTGAACTGCAATTCTGGAAGAAAGAAAAGGACAAAATACTGTCACTTTAAAAAGAATAGAGTCTACTCTACAAATCACAGAGTGGTTATTTCCCAAAACACATTCTGAGTGAAGACAGCTAATACACTAGAACATTATATTTAAGTAAATCCTAATTACAGAGGGGAACATGTTTACTTTGTCAGGATCTAAAATCACTGTTCTACGGTAAGTGGATATTGCTTGATCAGCAGCGAACATTAAACCAGTTTGTGTTAGACAGCTATTTCTAAACTAATTGAATCACTGGTATTGTGTAATACTAACCTCTTCACTCAGTTGCAGTAATTTATCCAACCAATCCTCAATTTCTGTCAGAGTGGCTTTCACATCAGTAGCTTCATTTCTCATCCTTGTTGCTGCTTCTCCAATCTGTTTGAGAGACTTGAGGCGCAGTTTTTCTATCTGAGTGTCAAGGACTGTAATATTAGATTTGCCTTCTATGAGGGGAAATGGTTTACTGAAAAGAGAATATTTATTATGGTTAATAATCTAAGCAGATTTTATTTAGCCACACACTAAACGTGGACATGCATATAGTGGCAACAGATTGAGTGCCATTATTTCCTGTGATTGAAAACCACTGGAATAGTGCTATAGCATCTATTTCTGCAGAGATTTCCACCTGACAAAGTGTCTACAGTAAGCAAGGGAAATGCTGTGCTTACATAACAAGCACCAACATAGAATAGCTCGAGGTGTATGCTTTTATGTAATTGCTCCTAACCAAACCAAGCAAAATCCATTTCCCTATATATTCAAGCTAGAAAAGTATTGTCTCAGAATGTACATCTCAAAGATTAAATCAGTCCCTTAGACCAAGATTAGGTTTCTTTCCTTCACTAGAAATTGTAAATTCTCAGAAACTCAATTTATATATATATACAGCTCGTGTCTATGACTAGAGTTATCTAATCATCTGGCATGAAAACATTGAAGAACTCTGAAAGAAATCCATGACATAGAACTGTGGAGTCACCAGAGGGCAGAGTAAACTATCCAATGGAACCAAGAAATTCTCTAGCATCACAGTAGAGCCCAGGAAAAATGAACTTTTTTGAACGGGTGGAAGTTTGAGGAAAAGGCAGCTTTTCAAAGACCAATGACTATAACCCTTTAACACAGTTCATTAAGAGGTTCTTAATATGATAGTTAAAAAAAAAAAGTTTTCAAAGACACTACCAAGTTTGAAAAGACTGACTCTTCTCTGACCTATTTTTAATGACAAGCCATGCGATTCTAAGGGCTTTGATTCTGCAAAACCTTGATACTGACTACTCTGCCTCCCACTATAGTTATAATTAGTTCTACTGATCTGAATGCAAGTGGTGCCTGGGTGCAAGGACTTACACACAAATCAAATGTACCTGGATCAGAACTTCCAGAAAGACACCTCATTTTAGGTTTAAATAGTCCACTGCAAACTCTCTCATATGCCTAACTCATTTAAACTTCAGCATGGCAAGGAAAATTCTCCTATGAATTCAATACAGGGAATTATGTCTTTGACACAGGTTTCATGAGTTTCCTGAAAAAAACCATAAAGAGAATTGTATCCTAAGAACAACAGGAAGCTCATTTGGTTGATACATCTAGGTGCTATTGCTCCATAATTGTTGAGTGATAAGATATTTTTTAAAATAACAGACTGAATTAATAACAGTGTAGATGTGTGTCAGGAGGATGGGTTGTCATAACTGATATAAAACCTGAAGTTCCTACACTCACTAGATGGCTCTATGTGAAAATGTTTTGCCCTTCACACTTTGCTTTCCTGAAGTATATCAGTTCTTTCTCTCTTTCTTCCAGATCACAGCAGGCATTCTATGAAGTTACTAGTGTATGTTTAGACATAAGCTTTCTATCATATAATTCTTTGCTAGTATATACTGATCTCCACTGTTTGCTTTTTCTGTGTTGACTTTTGTATTGGCTCTCCAGCTTGATGAATTTGTTCTTCTCATTTCATGTTCTCGTTATTTCCTCTAATGGATAATAACTGTTCTCTCATTTTCCCTTTCCTCTTCCTGCTGTTTCATCACCCACTTGTTTAATGTTTTTTAAGCATCTCTCCCCACGTCAATGTCTTCTTCCATTAATGTCTCTCTCTCATACAATTCCTTCCTCTCTATTTAGAATTTATTGTCCTTCAAAATCCTAAGTGCAGACTGTTATTGCCTTCTCTGAACACTCCCATACATACAGACATGTTGCCTAAAGGCTTATTCAAAAACATAATCTTTATGGCCCTTAAGCTCTAAATAGCTTTTAAACTTTTTACTTTGGGCTTACCAGTAAATCACAGCATTTCTTCCCTCTTCAGTGTCAGAAATAACATTGAAACATGGGTAAACAAAAGGTGCATGAGGAATTCTGAAGAAGGCAAGATGGTAGAAAGGCAGCAGAGATCCACAGTTCCAGAATTTTCAGAATAGTCCTGCCTTAAGATTTTTTCAAGAGATGCTGTTTTATTACTATCAGTGACTAAGATAAAGGAGAATTATAAAACTAGATTGATGACTTCATTGGCAATATCCATGCTGTTTTACTACTTTCAGAGACTGTTGGAATCCCAGTTCTTAGGTCAGTTCATAGGGTAATCAGTTTTATAGTCTTTAGAATTTGTTTTCTGACTTAGTAAAGGCAATAGCAAAGATTCTGAGCAGGCCTAGAATGATAACGTAAGAGATAAAAAAGGTACTTTTACCTTACATCTTCTGTAAGATCATCAATCAGCTTCAACCACATCTCAGCTAATTGGTTTTCAGAAATTTTAGCCTGCATTCCTGATTTTAAGGTGGCTAAGTTGGATTGCTGAGGAATTTAAAAGAAAAGGATTTGCACTTATAAACTTCCATTGTGGTTTACGGTCAATATGAGTTTCAAGACTTTAATCTTATTTATTTGCATGTATAAAGCCCAAATCAAGACTCAGATGTTCAAACTTGATTCATATTTAACAGGACTATTCCTATGTTCTTTCTTATTGTATTTAACAATACATGATATTTCACCTAACTTCCAAAGCAAACAACAGTTCTACAGACGTAACATACCCCTAACCAACACCAAGGGCTCTTCCTTCCTGTGGGAATTCCCTGCAGATTCAAGCACAAGTGTGTTGGGCCTTGCCAGAATACAGACCTATGATTAGCAGTGCTATTTGTTACACTGAGATATGTTTAATTTTAAATTGGAAAAAAGGAAGGAAAATGTAATGTCAGACAAGTGTTCCATAATTTGCTCAAAAGTGAAAAAAAAGTAAAAATGAAAAGCATATCAGCAAAAGAAAGATCTTAAGTGTCTTACCAGTCTTTCAGCCATGTTTAGGATTACATTCACAGGGTCTAATCTATGGCTTATGTCCTCCCAAAAGGAAGTCAGTGTTACAACTGGCTTTGTGTTTGCCCATGGCAAGTAGTAATAATAATTACCTGGTGTGAAACATTTGCATGTTAGAGTTAGAATTCATGGCAGAAATACATACTGTACACTGCACAGGTTGCTATATGTATTTAATTTATGTTCTACAATTCATTAAGAACTTACAAGCTAGGCCAAACTTATCAAAGGGTTTGTATTTTTCGGCCACTGTAGCATCTGTTGGATGGTAAACTTTTACTTCAAATATTTCAAAATCCAGTGGATTTTTTTCAATAAATTATCTGTTTACATATTCATTATTCTTTCCTATAACTTACCGATGTAGATAGCACACTAATATAAGTGTATCTTGAAACAAAATATTCAAATAATTATTTTCCAGAGTAAACCTGATTACTTCATTCAATACACAGAAAACAAGAACTCCTACTGTTTGCAGTTAATTAAAAAAGTTATAGCCAAAATATATTTTCCTGTGATCTAGCTAGGTTGTTTACTTCTAGGCTGCCAGACACATGGTTTAAAAACAAGTTTTTAAAGTAAGTTTTTATTGTAGTTAGAGCTGTCTTTCCAAAGCACCACAGAAAAAGAATTTTCCAGGATTTTATCCCCATACCAGCAGCATCCTTACCATCAAAAACAGCACGACTGTACTGGGTTGTTGATGCCAGAGGCTTACAGGTGGTATCAAACTTGTTGCCGTAGTTACCAATGCTAACTTCAAACTGGATAGGCTCACCAGTGTCTTGCAGCATGGTAGCAGAATGAAACACAGCAGCCAAGCAGAACTTCCGTCTACGCTGGTATTTCTAAAAGAAGAACCATTTTTGTTGTATTTTGATATTTTTAAAACAGGATCCACACTTATAGAAAACAATAGCAATTTCTTAATTGAAATAATAATTTTAGTATTTTTACTGGTTTCTGAGAAGCGACCAAAAAGATATAATGTGTGTATAATAAAATACTGTATTTGAGATTATAAAAATGTTTCAAATTAACATTTCATGCTTACAAGGGTATGACATTTTTGTAGCCACATAATCAGTAACCACCTCTCTTAATTCTGCGATCCAAATCAATTGTTTCAATTTTAGCAAGTTAGATCATTCTCTAAAAATAACCAGCCAAGGCACATCTCCATTACCAACACTGCCAATAAAACAAGGACTTACCTCAACAACCAGTAAATCATCATTAGGAATCATCTCTAACTTTTTATTAACAGGTTTGCTTTCAAGTATTGTAGATAGTTCAACCAAAATTCTCCCTCTATAAGCAACTCCTTCTCCCTGTAACATAATCACAATTTAATCCAATTTTATATATTTCTCCCAAAGTAGCATACTCTTTCTTTAGCTGTAGGTGATTCTGGCTTCACTGAAGTGTTCTCAAAACTTCTCCAAAGGCATGGATGTACATATTTGAACAAATGCAATAAAGCAGTTGGCTTTAATTAATGCTAGAAGTGAAAAACATATATTTATGAAACAAAGAAATAAGAAATACAAATTCATGCAGAGATGCAGGTAGTGAAAATCATCAAAAGCATTGCTGCCCTTTCAAAAACATCTTTAAAATGATAACAGATAAGAATGGAAAATACTATCATACTTCCTTATTAATCATAAACATAAAATATTATTCAAAAAGAAACACCAAACACTAAAGGGAGTGTAAGGTGAAAAAAACTCCCCAACATTCAATTAACTCATTCATTGATTAAAAAGAATTGGGGTTAATCCTTTTATTTAAAGCAATGAATAAAGAAACTGACCTTTCCAAAGTTCAATTCATCATATGGGTCTGGGAATCCAGTATATTCTCTTGGACTTCCGTAAAAGTTTAGGTAACAAGGCCCAAATGTTGGTAAAAAGCCAACTTCAGTTTCTCCAGTGCTTACTAATGGAAAATGTTACCATTATATCTTTGTTAATTATCATTCAGAGCCAGAAAAACAGTTAACATTACTATCAAACCCCATAGAATAAATGTTAGATATTAGTTAGGTATTAGTTATTAGTAAAGTAAGAACGCTTTATTCTCTGGGTATACTATATGAATGTAAAGTAATTATACCAGTGACTGTAGTTGTTCCTAATCTTCTTCATTGTACAATATTTACTACATACTACTTCATGCAGAAAAAAATCCACAGAATAAACAGAACTTCTGCCCCACCTCATATACCAGGTTTTCATTTATGTGAAAGAGCAATATGCTCTTATGTTAACAGAAAACATGTTTTCTAGAAATAAATGAAACTGAGCAAAACAACATTTGCAATCATTTAAATGCATAGGCCATTGTTCTAGCTAAACAGCTACAAAAAAGTAGCAGAAAAAAACCCTACTGTTTAGCATAGTTAATCCTCCTGTTCTAATTTTTAGTATAATTTTTCCTGTGGTTATGTTTCAGGGTAAAATCAAACTACTGCAAACTCTAATCAAAACTGCTACACTGCATTGTTTCTCACAAACTCCCTTTTCAGTAAGCTAAAATTCACACAAGACTGAAAGTCTTCAAACTCAGTTAATTTTCAGTTAATTCCAATGACAATAAACTCTAATTTGTATTCTATTCTTATTCCATGACAAAGAAATTAAAATTTCCCAATGTCTTAATCTACCTAAAAAGACAAATAATAAGGATTTAGATATTTTTGTCAGTTTTAATAGCTAATAAGCTAGGAAAGCTAGGAAACTGCATACCAGAGCTGTTGTTTATTTTCAGATTTTTAAGATAACTAAGAACTTGAAAAGGTATTTCCATTGCTAGCGCTTACTGTCATAACTTTGTATTTCTGAACAGTGTTCTGGGTTTTAGCAGAAAAATATATATATAGAAGCCTTAGTTGTAATACTACTGTTACCTTTTGGGTTTGCATTCATGCCTTTCAAATTTATTAGATAAATGAGATTCTAAAAAGCTCTTTTTAGTGCCAACTAAAATCTATACTTAAGGGAGTTAATTGTTTTTTCAGTAACAATCCAACACATGCCAAGGTTATTGATTGATACACTTGATGAGTAGTGCAAAGAGAATTAGAACAAGGCAAGCAACACACATGCAGAAAAACACTGCATAGTTTGGAGTGAACAGGAAAGATTTTATATTCTTCTCCTTCATGTAGCCTAGCTTTTGTCTTTGAACAAATGATCCTGGTATAAAAAAAGATGAGAATCTAAACCGTGTGACAGATATCACTTAGAGTGATCTGCAGCACAAAGAAGGAATCATTTATCAAAGGGAAGAATGGCTGAGATAAGAAAGTGAAAATTAAGGGTTACACCTTGTATGACTTTGCCACTGCGACTACTGAGTGACACAAACGAATAATAAAAAAAATTTGAATCAAGAATTCAGACTCTTGTTGGAATACCGTCCAATTTTTTTAAAATTGTAAACCAGAACTGCTCACATGAGATCTCAATATAACTAGATTTAAGGTATAGATCTGTGTTGAATTAATACATACACTAGTTACTGATGTTAATAAGTTAAACAGAATATAAATTTAAAACCAAAACAAACAAAAAACTCCTCCCAAACCTGGAATAAAAAGAAATTTTTTTTGTATTTGCTTACATTTAAAATTAAATTGTTTACATTTAGAAGGCTGATGATCACATATTACAGAAAGCGATTCTGAAAAATTATTTCAGCCTTTGACTTAATACTCATAGAATCATAGAATGCCAGGTTGGAAGGAACCTCAAGGATTATCTGGTCCAACCTTTCTAGGCAAGAGCACAGTCTAGACAAGATGGCCCAGCACCTTCTCCAGCTGAGTCTTAAAAGCATCCAGTTTATTAAGAAAAAAAGGTAGCACCTGAAGTATTTGTGCAGATGAATGTTTGTCACCTTTCAACTGCACTCCACTGTTTTTATTTCTCACTATATAAATATTTACCACAAAGTCTTTCAAAACTGGATGTCAGCCTGGACAGTTATGTAAAAAGCTGTCTCTCCAGGTTTTAACAGGATCAGATTTCATTTTTCAGACTTTATTTATACAGCTAGCTAAGCACAAGCAAAGCAGCCACTAATTATTTTAGGCACTTATTTACTCCCGCAGGGCTCTGCAGCTGTAAATATAGTTGCGATCTCATAGCTAAGTTAAAAATTGCAAGCCATTGTTAGACAAAGAACTTTATAATTGAAGCAACTGCATGCTCAACTCTAAAACACAGCTTGAAGCACCAGCTGAACAGAAAGGTTCAAACCAGTTCCAGTGCCAAAACTGTTTTATACAGTTAGTTATGTTTGATACTCTTTAATCATTATGGTGAAGTCTTTTAGACAAGTAATTATTCAAAAATATTTTTTAAAATGATGGGTTTTCTTAGGCAATACATCTCAGTTTGGGCAATGGAAAGCAAAATCAGTAACAGACAAAGATATAAACCTTCATACGATGAAGCCCCTGTTCCCGAAGATGAAAATTCTATATTATGAAAAGAAAAGAAGTTACATGACAAGTGACAATACCATTTTAAAAACAAATACATTACAAAGCAATCTGCTCTTAAAATAAAGTTGAAGGCCTGAGAAAAAATAAAGTTCATGTGGGCTAGAATTTTGCTTCCTGATTAAAATATGAAGGTATTGCTCTTCCTGTACAAATTGCAAAGGAAAAAAAAACAAAAAGCATGTAGCTGACAAAATATATTGTTTTGATGCTTCTGTTTCAGCTTCCTATAGTTAATCTCCCCACAAAATAAAATTTTATTTTTAAAATTATTTAAAAATCTTAAGAACATTTAAGAAAGCCACTACCTTTCAGGGCCCATTTTAATATCTTTATTTATTGAAGACCATAGACTACTTCAGTTTCCCAACCCTTTAGAAGCCAGAACAGGCTTCAGGCATGGCATTGACCTCAAGGGAAGACAATCTGTGATTTTACATGGAAATGGCTATTCCAGTGTCAGTACCTCAGTAGAGAGAGAACCCAAATAAGATTTTCTCAGTTACTAAGTGCCTGGGTTTGAAGTACAAATGAGCTGTGACTCAGCAGCAATTCAAGTTACACACTTATGTGGGTAGTACAAGTGATCTCTCAAGAGCTGAATTTTCCCCAACAGCCCAGCCCTTCTGTCTTTGATTTCCCACAGCATTTTTTGGCAGCCCTTTCTTTTGCCTCTGGTTGTGTGGGGGATATATGAAAAGAATGTTTGCACAAAATCTTACTTCAACAACAGTACTTCTAAGAGGAGTGGATAAGTTTGAAGTTACAGGACTGAAAATACAGTTCCACCTGATAAGTACTTGGCTCAAGTCACTACAGGATTGGAGCCACTAATTTTGTTCTTAAACTCCTGACATGGCTACCAGCCTAAGGACAAACTGGTTTGTCTCAGACAAGTACATATCATATAGATTTCATAAACACAACAGAAAAAATGGGGATTTAGATTCTTATTGTGGCAGTGGTAGAAATGGTTTTGAGTCAGTGTCCTTCAACCTAGTGTAGACAGTCAGATAAATAAATGTTAAGCCTGTTTAGCCATGAACTTTACAATTCTGTATGGACAATGAATATGCCATAGTATGTTCTTTAAAAAGATAAAATGTTTTTTCTGGCAAATTAACACAGAACCCTTGTCATGGAGCTGGCTCAATTGTATGAAAGATGTTGGTATAAAGAAAAGAGGAGATTATAGATATAGATCACAAAGAAATAATCAATAATCACAATATCGTATTAGAACATAAACGTAACAGGATTTTTTTTTTTTGTATTTCCCAAAATCTCGGCAGAAAAAAATGTTTCTTATTGTAAAGAAGAGATTTATTACACACGTAATGTCCAATGGGGACAACATGTTAGGAACTTCATATCCTGCCTCACTAAATTTGTTTTACTGCAGTTAATTAGTTTTAGGTTTTAGTTTTTATGAAATTACATATCCAGTAACCTATACAGAAGCACATACATTAATTGTCTCCAATCATAACATTACAATTAAAATCTTCATTTGCTGAAGCTACTAAAATAAGGGTTACTAAGTAGTAATTTGGAGCACTTTTGCAATGACATGCAGTGCCCATTTCTAGTAAACTACCGATCAGAGCAGGGACTGATCCAAGTTCCCCCAGCATCTGAAAGTAGCCTAGCAGTATACAGGAAATGAGCAGGTGGTTCTATAGACTGTTCCTGTAGGCTAACAACTCAGGAACATTCCCCAGCTTTTAGGTTCTCTTCCCAGAGAAAGAGCAGACACTTATAAGGTGGCAAAAGAAGTCTTGTCTACTAGTTCCCAATGAAGTAGTGATTCTGACACAGTGACTCTGGATTGTTTTTAAATTACGTGTCTTATTAACTATCTTAGTAAATTTGCATACCTTACCTGTGATAGGTTGTGATATTACACAGTTTTCTGAATTTGGGAAAGTACTCACAAATGTAATTAGTTTATTAAATTTATATATATAACAGAACAATGAATTTTGAATTAGCTACTGCTATTTCCATGAAGATGTGGTTTAAACATTAAAATTTTAATACTTCACTTTGAAAAGTCCCACAGTATGTTTTCTAGGAGCGTTGTTTTGAAAATCCAGAAACGGATAATCTTGTTGCCACAGAACTGAGGAACTACAGGAAAATATACTTTCTTAGAACAGTGATCTCTGCTATTCCTCATAACACAAAAGAAGATAGTAAGTTACACACTGCTTAATCAATTACCTTCAACTTCTCCTCCAGAAGAAGCAATCTTTGAGAGACTTAAATATGTTGTTCCTACTACATCATTTTTTGTAAGACGATCCCTACAAAAAGAAAAAAAAGGAAGATTTTATTTAAACATAATGCTGGTCATCCTACACAGAAGCTACCAGTCACTAAATGCAAGATAATGTACACACATTTTACATCACCTGGAATACATATCACATTTTATATTGCCTCACTAACAGAGATGGTAATGGCTAGTTACAAAAGTGGGCTTTATCATGAAGAAGTCACCTTACTTTTACACTGTCACCTAAAGAGTGATAGTACTCAGTGCTCACCGCACAAAATTAACAATACTCCCATGTTACACTAATCAGGTCTCTTGTAAAGAAACCATAAAGGGAGATAATTAAACACTTGCTTAAATATTCTCATAGACTGTAGAAATATCTGACACCGACAGAACCAGACTTTTCTCCACTTAATATAATCTACGTTGTCTAATATTTTGATTAAAAGTCAGAACTCACCAGTCAACGACTCTAAGTTTTATTTTCTCACACATCGAGGGAAACTAAAAAAAAGCAATTAGAATAAAACAAACCATTACTTATTTCACCTCTGTAATGTTAATATCCTGTGTTCCAAAAGTATGGCTGTTTTCTACAGAAACAGGAAAGAAAAAAAACTGACCTTGATTTGAAGATAAATAATTTGATTCCACTCTGGATTAGCATTTTTCTCAATTATATTTGTGCAAGCCTACAAAAAAGGAAATCAACTATACAGCAGATCAAAGATAAAACTGACAAAAAAAGCATATACTAGCTACGATTTAGGATAAATCATATTCTGTTTGGTAAGATGAGGGGTAGTAGTTAATGATGAATTTTGAGTGGTTTACACTGCAACGAGCCATTAGTTTTCAATTGGTAGATGCTGCTAAATAGATCTGCATAGGCAACATTAATGACTATTGGAGGGAAAAGAAAATTTTGAAACAGTTTTTAAACCCGAGACTTGTGTTACCCTACAGGAAAAAAAGCTTGTTATTTCCACTAGCTACAATTTAATGTTCTTTCACACTAGTACTGATCCCTTTCATCACAGCAAAGAAACAAGACAAAGGAATTACTTGATTCCAGCTTGCTTTATGCAGATTTTATAGCAGATGAAGAATATATTCTATGGGAGAGTCTATGTTATTTGCCTGCCATGTCTACTGAAGATCCTCTCCATTACTGGGTGTGGCAACCTGATTATATAACATAATAAAGGACTGGCATTTTTCTTCTTAAAAAAAAAAAAATAGGTTGTGCAATTGTGCTTCAGCTCAAATTTGGCACTCTAAAGAACACATTAGTAATAAAATGTACAAATGCTGTTAACCTGTCCAGAAAGATCAGTACCATCAGTTACAAAAAGCAATCAGGAAAAACCTGTAGGCAAGCAATCTGGCATGCATCAGTTCCTAGCATTTAGTCATACGTTACTTTTATTAGTCATCAGCTTTACATCCATTTGGTTGCACCTTGTAGTTTGTCCTCTTTTTACAAAGTGAACTTTAGGGCTATATGCTTTTTTCAGTAAACTTAAAAATTTAAATTGCATATGAAATCTGTTGTTAGGACTACAATTAGAATGCAAAGATTCAGATATTTACTAAATTACCTTCTTCCCAGCAAAAGAAACTTCTACAAATGGATCTACCAGGTTTTTCTTGTCTGCTTCTCCTCCCAGTATTTCCTTGACAGTCTGTGCAAAAGCATCATCCACTGAGGAGGAGTCAAAGAAGAAATTAAGGTTTATGCTTTTTTATTTTTTTTATTTTATTTATTTATTCATCCTAAATAATAAGTTGCTTATAGCAATCCCCCAAAATCAACCAGCTTACAGATCTAGGCAGGGTGAAGTCTAACCTGATAAAAAAAATTCTAACAGTGTTGCTGGTAAAAATGGAGGATTTAGGCTTAGGAACAATTTCAAGAATATAGATTTTTGAAACATCATAAGGAATGCTGATGTGTTCCTGAATTTAGAGGCACAGTTGTATTTGAAAATCATTATGCATGTATCTCTAGACATTGTCATTTGTTGTCACAGGTATAGGTGACAAATTATTCTAAGAAGGGATAAAAAGCCACCTATATTCTATCAGAAAATATGTATGGCATATAATGAGAGCAATGGCCTTTGTCTCAGCAATATAGGGTTGACACAAGTAAAATCTCACTAAACAAACCAAGGTCAAACTGCTTACAGGCTCCCCTGCCCTCCAAGGCTGCTTACTTAAGCTTACAGTGCTCAACTTATAGCCCACAAACTCCATGCAGCTTTCTGAAATGCAGCCAGTTCCTAGTTACTTATTTCCTGTGGCCACTCAGGAACAGGCTGCTGGTCATATGGACTCCCTTGGCCACCACAGCAGTGGCTGACTGACTTCAGCAGTCCTGTGGTCTTTGTCCCATTGCAAAATAGCTGCAGCTATGACCACCTATGAAGAAGAATTAATGGATTGGTGGGAAGAGAAAGGTGCAGAGGGCCATCAACAGCACTACTTATCTACTAGGATCTAAATGGCCTTGGAAAAGAGGACTGCAGGGAACCAGCTGCCTGACAACCTCTCGAAAGTGGGCAGGGATTGGGATCCAAAAGGAAGTTGACACATGCACTGTATACTTGAGCTAGACATGCACAGAACATCCATCTTATCTGCATATCAACTGTACTTGAATTTTAGATACTTGCATGTAACTTCTGTGACTGGGGAAGGGCTAATGAAGATGACCTTTACCCACTACCAAAAGCTTTGTGGCCTCACTAACAGATGAACATTACTAATCTAATGGGTAACACATTAAATTATCCATAACAAGAATTAAGTAGACTTACTGAGCATTACCAAAGGACTTGAAATGGGCTACTTAAGCCATCACAGAATTATTGACTCGGTAACAATGTAAAACACTCAAGATGTTTTATGTTCAAGGAACGTTTCTCAACAGCTAACACAAATATTTCAAATACACCAATGGACAAATAGTAAAAAGCTATGTACTTTGCGGAATGTCCTCAGCTCTGTAGATTTTGAGAAGGAAAGTGACCCATCGAACTGCAATTCCAGCACCTGTTGAGAGATACAGTGGTACACGGTGTCTGGTATATAAGACAGACAGAGTAATGTACAGAATTAAGGCAATTAGTTAAAACTGGTGCCCGCAATACTCTTCAGATAGAAGACTGTTGTCAGCTTCATTATAAAGAATGTGATTTTATCAAATTATCAAGCCACAAAAATTAATTCTACCTAAGCTGTTTTACTTACATTTTTATCTCTAGAGTACTCAATTGCAGGAGCCCATTATAATCACATTTTAAAAATCATCATCATCAGATGATGATGATTTTGGCACTCATACAATGCCAACTTCATGCAATTTTCATACTCATCTCAAGATGAATATTGTGGTAAGGCATCTTACTGCAATTAGAAAAATGCATAAAACTCTGATATAATTTACCAGAATATACTGCTTCATGCTTTAAAAATAAACAGGAAATAGAAGATTCCACCACAAATAACTAGACATATCCTTGTGATTTCAAGAATCACGAGGATAGCAGAAAGGAAGAGTTAATACAGAACAAGAAGGAGATCTTCCATGGTTCTGGGGACCATATTATATTTAACTAAAGAGTAGCAGTATGCAAAAATCTCAGGTGGGAAGAACAGCAGAACTTAACTACAGACAATGGTCAAGTAAGAAAAATGTCACACAGAGAAGAGGGCCTGTTTATACCTTTACGGAACATCAGACGGTTAAGGATTGTATTGTTAAAACTATCTCCTGCTTTCACATGCATCAAATTACTTCTGCCTAACTTGTAATTATTGATGGGTCTAATTTTCACCTGGCAAATATTCGTAGCTTTCTGGTACTCGGGTTTCACTATGGGTTTGTTTACATTACATAGTAGTGGAGACATTCCTGACTTATCCCTGGAACTGGTATCAGTAAGTTGCTCGGCCTGATTAGCAATGCTAAGGAGAATTACATATTAGCTTGCATGCAACACCAGGCTAACACATCTCTGTTTCTTCCAGGACGTGAAGAAGTATCTACAAATGGTAGATCAACACACCCAGAACTGGTCCAGAGGTTGCTTAATTGGACAGGATAACAAAATAAGCTTTGAGTTGGCCACTTAAATGCTGCTCACAGAGTGAATTATACAGTATTCAAAAAATTTGGGGGGACATGAATAAATATCCATGGGGTGGAGAGGGTAAGAAAAACATTTAAATGAAACTTACTGGTGGCTCATCTCCAGTTCCTAGGACAAACATGCTGACTTTCATATAGCCTTTAGCTCCCGAATTTGTATCTTCGGGATCACTCAGCAAAAGCCATTTTCTCATGACTGCATGGCCTAAAATAAAAGAAACACCACCACCCACCCCCAGCAATATCCATTACAAAATGCCAGAAATCATAAAATAAAAGTCAACTGCTCCAAAAGCATGCTTTATCCTAAAACTAATTATTTTAAAAATTTATTCTGTTCTAGACAGGTCTCAATAGTGCCATTCAAAACAAGAAACCTAGTGGTGTTCAAATGTTGTGGCATATTAATTCAGGGACGTAATTATCAAATTTTTTTGCATTACTTTTCACATTTTACATCTTAAAAAAACAAAACGAATATCCAAATTTTCGGTGCTTGTACATTAATCTTGAAACCACTGAAAGGAGTTATATATTGTTGGATTTTTTAAAGATAATACTTAAAGCATCAATCTCAAATAACTTTCCATTAACTTTCTTTTACTTTAGAAATTTAATGAAATGTTTCAATTTCACGTTTCAAGCTAGGAAAGAAGCTCTGAAGTAACTGTTACTTACCAGGCTCATCATAAATATAGCCAATGTCAATCTGAAATAAAGATCAAAGAAGACCTCTGAAGAAACACCAAAACAGAAAAATGCGAGGGCAACTCTCCTCAAGTTTTTCATGAGTACTACTACATTTTTGTCTTGACATAATCAAAAGAGAGTTTACGTAGCATATTCTTGGGAGGAGAAAAAGAAAATACCTTACATTGAAAATGTAGGGATTTTGAATGGATACAGCAGCCAAGAAGAAAATGCAAGAAAAGATATATTAGAACTAACAGCTGTAATTACTTTCTTATTTCTTCAGATCCTCAGCTTTTTCATTTATCAGAGACAAAAGATGGGGCTAGTTTACTGCTTCTTGAATTCCCTGGGTTCCCCCATTATTTTATGTTCAGACAGGCTTTTCAGAACTCTTTTGTTTCTATATCATGCTCAACATTTCATCCTTCAGTTCCAGAAATGAAGCTTGTTTTTTTTAATGAATAATTTCATTTTTCTTTTATGAAGAGGATGGGCAATATTTCCCATGTCAAACCTGGACAAGACTGCACATATACCATGACTGTATTCATTGCATCAGATTTTAAACATGTTCAGGAAGGCAAGTATGTTTGCTCATGGCAATCGGGGCTAGTATTCCCTGCAGGTAAAGTCTGAAAGGGTGATTTTCTAGAGACAATTAGCCTTGGGTTTTTCTCCTGGAATGTGTGCCTGCAAGAACAGAAAGTAGCTGAATGACATGCTGTCACCTGCTTAGTGAATGATCAATCCACCACAGTGCAATTTATGACTGTCTGAATCACTAGAAATTACATAGATAATAAGCAGTGAGAAGCAAAAGCAATTAGCTTTGTGGCAGAAACTGCTTCATTTAGAAAAGAGTACTCTTCCACACTTGCATGTTTTTGTGAAAAGCTGGTCTAGAGACCTAATAAATTTATTCAGTACAAAACAAGCAAACAGAAAATGCAGCCAACACTGATACTGGAAATTTTATAAAAGGGGATCCCAGTAGCTATTACAACTGTCATGTGAATTCTTTCTCTGCATTGCTTTAGGAATACCTTCAACAGGCGAATGTCAACCTCCCAGGATTGACCATAATACATACAAATAAAGGCAATCTCCTTAATATCATCATAACCACAGAAACCACTTTAACTAGGGGACTTTTGCACCATCTCTTTTACTTAACAAACATCTGACCAAAGGAACACCTTTCCATATCACTTGAGAATGTGTATCTTTATGCCGCTGCACATACCACTATTCTGCCTATTAATAAAATTAACTCCGCAAACCCTACCTCATACCAAATAATCACCCTGATACCTTCTGAGAAAAAAGTTTACCTTTTGGTAAATATTTTTTTCTCTTGGATGCAAACTAGAGAACTTGGTGTATAAACCATACAATGTTCTTTAACAATAATCTTCTACTCAAATAAGAAAACTGTTTACTAGTGCTTTAAGCAAATGGTCTCTAGCATGAGAAGCAAGACATCATCAGGTAATTCTTTGGCCCCACACTAACGTAGTACAAATCTAAACATTTTTAAAAAGTACTTAAAAATTTCTTTCGCTTTATCTAATTTAGTCAAGATATGAAAGTTGTTTCATACCCACCTTAAATTCTCCCATTAGACAGTCTGCTCGTAGAGAATAAGAATCATACACCTAAAAAGACAGACAAGCATGAAACACGAATGTTCCTAAACATCATAGCGAAATGGCCAGACAATGTTATATGCATCCGGCGGCCTTTTGCACATGCACCATTTTTTCTTACCCGAATACTAACTGTTTCATCAAGCAACTCTAAAGGAGTCATGTGGACATTGTAGAAAAATATCTGTTAAGGTAAAAACAAACAAAAAACCTGTCTCAGAATGACAAACACATAATTCTCTGAACAGAAAATGCAAACCTAGTATTTTAAGAGGCTTGTGAAGCATGCCTGCTACAGTACTTTTACCCTGCCTCCTTGCTGGACAATTTATATGATAATTTAGCACAGAATAAAAAAACCTAAATTTTGTAAATAAACTTAGTACAAAACAGACAAAAGACAGCCACAACTTGCATTTGAATGAATGCAGTAGGCATAGCTGTGCTGCAAACTTTCAGCACTGTCCTTGCTCCTTGCTCTACATTTCACATTTTGCTCGGGAGAACAACTTCGGGAATTATAAAGGTTGTTCATTTTCCAGGACATTCAATCCTGGTCTAGAATTGTGAACGGCTGTGTGGCATTCAGCTGCCTGCCAGGCTAAACCACAACACCATCTCTATTATAGCTGTCTAAAAGGTCTTGTTTAGGGCTAGTGGTGATAGTGATTTTAATGATTTGTGTCTTTGAAATTCAAGGCCACAGGAGTAAATCTGATCGTTTGACAGCATGAAGATAAACATATTCTTTATTAGCTTACTTGTTTTACTAATACTATATGCCTCACTAAGTTTGGTCTTTGAGCCCAGCTATACTCCAGTGAGTGCTTTATCTAACAAAAGGGAAGAGGTCCCTCCTATTCCATTTTTAGCCTAGTCTGGATAGTGAGACTGCCTAGGAATTGATTCAATATGAAGTGCAACTGGCTTTCTCCCTTCCCTGTTTTTTACCACTTGTTCATAAATTTTGACTGCTACCTACAGCTTAGTTCAAGTCTCGAAGTTTTATAACTTCCTTGGTTTTGCCTGCATGTGTTAAACATGCTTGCCACCCACTTCCAAAATCTGAACTTTCTACACATGTCCAGATAATGAGTTATGCCGCGGCATTCTCTCTATTAAGCTTCCAGACATGGGATCACTCTTGCATCCCTTATACAGTTTTGAATTCTCTCCTGTATTTCAGTGTGTTTGATGTACAAATCCCTGCGTGGACAAAGAAATCTAGTTGTGCTTTTACAAATCATGGGTAGCAAGGCAATGACATTTCCAGATTTTGTGTTGCAGTATTATTGACCCAAAGCATTGCACTGAAAGCTCGTCTGCACATACCATAGAGGTCTACAATGATTAATTAATTTTTCTGTGATTTTATAATCTGCACACAACTGTCTCAGCTGAAGTTTGACTTCCTACTAGATAGCTTTATCTGCTAAAACTGCCAGCAATAGAGGTGTGTTTAGTGATGTGAATACATAAAGAAAGGGACTGGGAACTGCAAAATGCATATTAGCCATAACTACCCTTAAATATTAGCAAACTCTTATTCATTGATCATAATGAAAACTGTAATAAATATTTTTCTACATTTAATAGCATCAACATTTTAGCTACAGTGATCTTACACCACTCACTTCATCAAAATATGGGTTGTTTCCTCTTTTGATTCTCGTTCGGTGTGTCTGACCACAAATATGAACTTTGACTACTGGTTTTATGTTATTTCCAGGTAACTGACGACCTTCAATGACTCTAACACGAATCTGAAAAAAAAAAAAATCAAATATTTCTATTTATTCATTGCCTGTATTATCTATCAGCCTGGTGAAAACAGTTTCTTACTATGCCACCAAGAAGTTAGCGAACACCTGAAGTACCTGGCAGATATGGACTGGACAGACTTTTCAAACTTAATTATGATAGCAAGTATAATTTTACTTGAATTTGACAAGACAAGTTGGGGATAATTATTTCAGTAAATTTTTTTTACTTGCTTTTACTACATATTTTTAAAGCTGCTGTTGTAGTTTGAAATCTATACAACTATTAAATAAATTTTATCTAGATTTCAGTCGAACTGTACAAAACTGGACATCTCTGTAGCAGGCAAATTCGAAGAACACTTTTGAAATACAGGCTTTTAAATGAAGAGGCTAATTGTCTCTACAGTGCACTAAATTTGCACAGTCTGACATTAGATTATGCTCAGGCTATGTGAAAGGAGCAACGTCATGCCAGGTAGAAAAACGGAACATGCAACATTTAATAAATCTATTACCTGGAAATCTTGTGGTTTGTTAGAAAGGATTCTCCGTGTTTTCTTTCCTTTCATGATGCGTTTAGATAGCTGGGCTTCCTTTGTGCCACTTGGAACTGTTGGTGTGATACCACCAACTGTACCATCCAAGTGATCTTCATAATCTCCATCATCTTCTCCATCTCCTACAGCAAAAAGCAGTGCAATTAATAAACATAGTACAGCTTAAAGTTTCAGGAGTAAGAATCTGATATCTAAGAGTTCCTCTAGAATCGTATTATCTCATTTCAACATTTTTTTTTTTGCTACCAACTCCTTTTGAAACCTACTCATTTTAGCTTGCTTAGGAATAAATTTATATCCTAACCAAATTAACTGTAGATCTTTCCATCTTCAGGATGCAGACTAGCTAATACAATTCCCATGCACTTTTTTGAACCAACTGATTGAAGTTCTAGCAAAGTACAGTTCAGCTGTAATTGTCACCAGACTAGTTCACAATACACCAGAAGTGATTAATTTTATTTCAGTTGAAGCTGTTTCCCAGCAGCAAGACTAGGCTATAGCATATAATTGATTTTTACTTCAGAATCTTGAAAACATGAAGACATTTAGGGTCTGCCATGCAAAATAAAACTCTGAATCCTCCGCCACAGCATTTAATTGTGGAATAAGTTCAAGTTTATTAGTAAGTCTCTTTGACAGTTCTGAAATCACAATACCTCTCTGTTCTACAACCACATGACACTACAATACTGCATCATACAGTGAGATTCCAGTATTGCAAAACAGGATCTGTAAATATCTAGACCACAAAAGTGTGTCACTCCCTTGTGTTTCCAGCTTCTTTTCTTAACTGAAGGACAGTGACTGTGGTAAAATCTACAGGAAGAACAAGCTGGGGCTCTGATGGTTAGCATTAACAGAATGTTTGTTAACTTTATGAATTAGTTTGCCAACACAGGGTGATGATCACTTTGGATAATGAAGTCCTCAGTGATCCTTGTAAGAGATGCATAAAAACACAGATAATGACATACCACGTATTTTATAACTGGAAGACCCCACCTCCCTAACATCTCTCAAAAATCCATCGGCCTGGATGGATCCATGCAACTGACTGCTTACACATCCTGACTTAGCACTTAATATTTTAATTTCTGAAACTGAGGGAGGTGATTTCATTCCATGGAAAACATGTATTTAGAATAATTAACTAAGGTGTGTTTGATAATTTGCACTGAAATAATTTTCATGAGGTTGCTGGATACTAGCTAAAAACCTGCCATGGGTTTTTTTGGACCCGTATTACCTTATAGTTCAAGTACATTTTTAAAAAGCTATCAAAATAATCTCATATAAGTCAAATTGCATTTTTAGCCTTCAAGTCCACATTTCTATAAAAATTATTTCAAAGTGTAGTAATTTAACACACAGCTTTTGCTTTTGCATTACCTATCTTTCCACTCCCCAAGAACACCTCTCAGTGAAGTCAGTGGAATCAAAATTTTTCCCCAGAAGACTCCTCATTTCAATTTTTTCCTTCTTATGTTACTATCTATCAGCAGACAATGGCCAAACTGATTTATTTCTCCTCAAACATATAACTTTTATTACATTTACTTCTTTCTGCACAAACACAGCCTGGATATTAGGGTAATTATTTGCCTGTCAGCTGCAAAAAAATGTTGTTACTTCACAGTTCTTTTAAGAGTCTGGAAAACCAGATGATCTCAAAAACACTCTCAGCAAAAGACTGGTTAATGTGGTATATAGACTGTGGTATATAGAAAGAATATTCCCTATCGATCACAAGATTTCATAGGCCAGTCAAATATCAAGCCTAATATAAGGTAAAAGAGTGTCTTTCAAAACTTACTTATTCTACAGGGGAAAAAACGTTTAACGATTTAAGAAAATCTTTTCACAAAGCTCCCTGACTTTGAAAGTAACAGAATGTATTTTTCCAAAAATGTGAATTCCCTGCTTTTTTGGTCACCCCTAACATTACAACAGACAACTGCTGTTTCTTTGAGCGTTCAAAAACCTTTCTTTCCTAAACAAAAGCCATTTTGAAAAGCTTTTAAGCAACATCATTCTTTTGTAACCTGATTCCACTGGAGAAAACGATGCTAAAAACCATTTTATGTCAGGAAATGCCAATTTTTTTCCTAGCTGTAGTCATGAATCATCCTCAATTTTTAAATCACTATCTGGCAGTCTTGACATGCTTGCTTCTGGTTACATATTTTCCTGATGAACAATGCTGTTGAATCACTTTCTTGCCTTATCTTAAATACCTCCATGATCTTTTAATGATAATGTTCTGAGAAAAGACTGAAATACCTTCTTGTGTATTGGTCCCTCCTGGGTCATTTGGATTTGTAGGCCCAGCTGGTGGCTCATATCCTACTACCAAATCAATTGTTGCCTGTAGAGAAATACATGGGGTTTTACGTGGCACACAGTACTCACAACAATTGATTTAAAGCAGCAAGTTGTTCTAACACTGCACATGAACAGTTAACTGTTCAGTCACAGCACAGTTTCTAATAAGATTTCAGCTATTAGTAAATTAATAAACTGTTATTAAGCTATATATACATAGAAACAATAAAGACTACACAATTTGCAGCTAATGGAATAGGCTCTAATAATTGGAATCACAGTGTTTATATTCAGAAAAATCTGTCACAATACAAATATATAAGATGTTCTACAAATGTTAATTTATTTAGTTCCACAATATTTATGGCAGACTAGGTGACATGCTAAATTTGCAGATGGAAAAACAAAGGCAGTGAGAAATAACATCATCTGATCAACAACATAACAAGTCTGAACCATAAGTAAAATTTCCCATCTGGCTCTCTAATTGCTTGTTCATACCTCCATCCAGGAAGAAAAACACTAAGTCATTTTCCATTCTAATTATAGAATTGTCTTTTTTATGCTTGACTACGGTTTTGGATTATTGAACAAACCATTACTATTACTAGTTTCCACAGAAACACGAGGAGTCAGCAAAAAAAGCCCAACCCTGTGACCAACTAGCCATGATATTAAACTACAGCTGATGAGATACTGAAATCACCCTTAAAGCTTCTTATTATTAAGTGTACTAGAATGCAATATGAAGTGCCTTAACAGCTAGACTGCACAAACACAGTAAGGTCCCAGTTCTAGAAACTGCTAACTACTAATTAATAACTAAGTTAATAGTCAGCTAATAACTGTTAAATTTAAACATGTGCTAAACCAAGTTAAGCAAGTTCTTGTGTAGCTTTCTAAACTGAGCTGGCAGTGAGCATGTACATGATTATGTGCTTTCTAGAATGAGTGCTATGACATAGGTGGATATTAGAAATAATACAGCAAAAAAGTGCATATGGGAACTCCATCTGGTACTTTGGAAAATGCTCTTTGTCAACATCAGGCTGATTTCCATGCATACTCTGTGGCCCATAATATTTATAACACATATATACAAATACATAACACATACACAGAAAACAACTTATCTAACATAAATGATATTAAACAAACTCAGATGGCATAGACATAATTATACCTTGTTATAAATTTCCTCTGTCTGGAGCTTTTGCTACAAAACTCCAAGCATTTAATTTATGAAGTAAAAATAACTTGAAAATATTTTTGTTTTGCTCTTAGCCCTGTTGCTAGAGCATTTTGATCAAGAATACAGTAAAATAAGGAAATGGAAGCCACTCACTCCGGTTTCTTGTCCCTTTTCATTTAGCAGAGGTATGAGTTTGAAGGGAAAAGATCTGCTTTGGTTACCTACGAGATCCTTAAGTGCTACAGATGCATTGCCAATTAATCTGAAATGAAGTAAAGATCATTATTAGAATGCAAGTATACATCAAACAGAAGTTCCCTTTTGTCTTTTGCTAGTGTCTGTTAGTCAATCAAATACCTCCAGCCATGACTTGAAAACCTGACACAACAAAAGATCATTGCAAATGTTATCTAATGATTGTGTACTGCTAATTTGTTTTTTCTGTTTCACTGCACTTAAAAGTGCCTGTGTTTTTTAGGGAATACACATCTTTAACCTAAAAGAGGTAAAAAAATTAAATTTAAATACACTGTATGTGTACTTTTGAAAATAATCTTCTCTATAACTTTTGACAGCCATGTCACTTGTTTCAGCCACTGAATTCTCATTGGTATGAGTACATCTAATGGTAGTAATGCTGTATAAAAGCCAGATATGACAGCTGTTATACTACACAGAAAAAGACAAAAAGATATATACACATCTGTGTAATGAAAACAATGAAATAGAACAAATGCAATCCATGTGCTTACTAGCAGCTTCACAAAAATAATCTTCTTGCCCATATTCTACATTTTGGAATAGATTCATCTCCTTGCCTCTAAATTCTCAGAATGTTTCAACATGGCTCTAGAGAGGCCTACCAAAGGAAGCTGCCCAGGAGATCTGCCATTATTACTCTCCTGAACTACTTCTGCCTACTTTGGGTCTGCATCTGTCACCCCCATCCTCTTCAAAAAAGTGAAAACTGCATGCACTTTTAACCTGAGAAACTTTTAGGCGGAGTTTCTAACAGTGTGGCGTTGGTCTCATGGCATCTGGCACTGTAGTTCGTTCCCGTAGTATGTAATAACAGTTTACTCATATACTGAAGTGGATTATTGGAATAACTGAGATTTTTGTCAATGAAAAAATCCCAAGATAATTTCATCCTGTAAATATTACAAAGAACATGTTTTGCAAACAAAATACCAGCTTTGCTGCCAAAGTAGAAAAAAGATCTGTATGCGGAGAACTTAACTGAGGTCCCTTTAAATAGATTACAGTGCTTTTTCATGGAGAAACTAGGGATGCAAGGGCATTTTTTGACATGGAACAAGAGCATTATTACAGCTACTCTCAGGTGCTATGTCATGAAAACATAATTTACTTCTTGCAAAGTACACTAGGATAGGTAAATATAAAAAAATTAATTTCCTGCAAATATACATTCCAGGTATTACATGTTCCAACAATTGTTTAGCTGTGCACAAAAAAATAACTACGCTGTCTGTTTGAATGACCTGTTAGAATTACTTTGACGCTGTCACCTTCTCAGTCAACTCTGCTTTCCCAGTTCATCTCACTCCTCCAATCCCAGTTGTCTTTTTTATAGTTTTGACTCACTGCTCAAACCTTTCACTTCTGCCCCCCAAATTGCTAGAGCACGGTAATATTCCAGCTATGCCTCACACATTTGTCACACACAGGAGATGGGCTAGATGTGAAAAGCAGTTTAAGATCAAGCCATGATGCAGAGGGAATGCATGAAGCTGTTCTAATCTTTAAGATGACCATAACTGAAACTCTGATGCCTCTCCTCCCTTTACTGAACAGACACCTGGATTCAGTACTGTAGCCTTGATCCCGTGTCCTTTAAAAAAGTCTAGAAATACACCTAGTTATTTCAGTGAGCATTAGATCAACCCTAGGTATATTTTCACTTTTCACAAATTCTTGCACAGAGCTGGACGTTAGCTGAAACACTAACTCCATGCATTTCTCAACTTTAGGGAGCTTAAGAAGCAATCTCTCCTGTTATGCAATCAAAATTGCATTCAACCCACAAGACAAAACTAGATTTGGAACATCAGGTATATATGCAGTGGTCTTATTTATCCCTCCAACTGTAATAGTATTTGACATTGTTTGTGATTTGCTGTAGCGAATCTTGACACTAAACAGTAATGCCTACCTAGCTCAGGTTTTTTTTTCCCCCCCTGTGGCCTCAACATTCCAAAAATTGGTGTTATATAGAAGACAAGTAAATCTGACGTTACACACCAAAGAGAACACCTCCCTCTATATTTGACCAAAGTTTTCTACATAAAGAGTAGGTGTCATGCAGATAGTGATACTGTTCAACAGTCAAACAAAAGAAGAAAAAGGTTCATTCCATAATGACTGCAAATCCCAAAGCAGCTAAGGGAGAAAAATACTGGGTAGCTTAATGCATTTTTCTCTTTATTACCTAGCCTTCTAACATGTTAATAGCTTTGAAAGCAAGTATAATATAAGCAAATGGGAAACTATTCCTACAGTTGGAAGGAAAAAATGCTTGAATTTCATTTACACAGCTGGATACTGAAAGAAACCAACTTCACTCTTTTCCCTTCAATGCAAAATTAATCAATAAAGACTTTCAATTCCAAATATTCGTATTTTCCCAAAATTCTTCAACCATAACCATAAAAAAACCCCATCCTCATCTGTCCTGCGCAAATGTTAACTGTGCACATTTGAATACGTCGTAATAATTTTTAAAATTTTGATCACCTTCAGAAGACTGAAGAGGGAGTCAGTTACTACTTGCTTGCTACTGTTGCCTCTAAAGTCCTTTGTTTCCCCCTCCTTTAACAGGCTGGGCAACAATGGTCTCCAGTCTTTTCCCACTCTAGCAAGAGTGAGAAACCTAACATTCAGCCTATACACCATCTTAGCCTATTTCTAAGCTTTAGCCAAATTCTAAACTTTAGGCAGTCTTTTGCCTTCCCTGAAGTGGTCCTGTTCAATGGATTTGGGATGTTTCACCCCTCCCTTAGCAAAACCACAGAACTGATGTGGTTGGAAGGGACCACTCAAGATTATCTAGTCCAACCCCTCTGCTCAAGCAGAGTCAGCTAGAACAGGTTGCCCAGGACTGTGTCCAGTCTGGTTTTGATCATACAGCTACTCAATGGCTAAAGTAATATTTTCAAAGGTGTCCTGGTTTCAAGTGGGACAGAGTCAGTTTTCTTCCTAGTAGCTGGTGTAGTGCTGTGTTTTGGATTTGGTATGAGAGGAATGTTGATAACTCACTGATGTTCTAGCTGTTGCTAAGTAGTGCCTAGACTAGTCAAGGACTTTTCAGCTTCCCCTGCTCTGCCATGTGCACAAGAAGCTGGGAGGGGGCACAGTCAGGACAGCTGACCCCAAGTGGCCAAAGGGATATTCCATACCGTATGACGTCATGCTCAGTATGTAAGGTGGGTGAAGAAGAAGGAAGGGGGGGGACATTCAGAGTGATGGCATTTGTTTTCCCAAGTAACCATTATGTGTGATGGAGCCCTGCTTTCCTGGAGATGGCTGAACACCTGCCTGCCGATGGGAAGTAGGGAATGAATTCCTTGCTTTGCTTTGCTTGTGTGCACGGCTTTTGCTTTCCCTGTTAAACTGTCTTTATCTCAACCCATGAGTCTTCTCACTTTTACTCTTCTGATTCTCTCCCCCATTCCACTGTGGGGGAGTGAGCAAGCGGCTGTGTGGTACTTCGTTGCCAGCAGGGTTAAACCATGACAGGAGTGCCTCAAGGTCATCACTAGGTCTCAACTTTTTCAGTTGTACAGGTCTTGGAGAAAGCCTTTTTCCTGAGATGCTTCTCTCAGGTCTCTAATCTTTGGGCTAAGTCAGGTAAGACCAAGTCAGCTAAGTCAGACAGCAGCAACTGTTGTTGTGACACCATGTCCATTAACAGTTCATTGCTGCAAGGTCTGCCACTGTACTTGCTTCTGATATGTAACTAGACCCCCAGTTCTCTGCACACCTACTGTGAAGTTGCTGTGTTCTTCTGAACTCTGAAGACTTTTTACCTTCTGGAAGGATTGTATACAATCTCCCTCTGAAGTCATGACTTTCATGGTGACAAGGAGTCCTTTTATTCCAGCACAGCTGAAAAGACTTTCTGTCACCTATTCATCCTCAAAGGACATTGCTCTTTGCTGGAGCTATTTCAGCTTTCTTCCTCTTGCCTAGGCAGCCAACATTTGCCCGTTTAATTCCAGATCACACTGGTCTCTTGACACCATCAAGTGGAATAGTTTCTGTTTTCAGAATAGCTCAATACATCCTCTGACCTTTTGTTCATCAGCTGTTTTGGCAGTAGACAGCAAATGAGTATTGCTTGTTAACTCTCCTTAAGTACCTTTTTGGCCATCCCTAAGACTTGTATACTTATAGTGCCCAGTCAGCCAGGTCTCTCAAACTTTTCCAGCTTTGCACAAGTAAAGCAAAAAACCTGTCCCATCACAATCACTTCAAACATTCAAACACCAAAGATAAATGGAAGTCCGCATTTAAAGCCATTTCAAACCACTTCAAATATACACTATCAGTACTAGGTCTGTGATACTTTCCCCCCAGTAACCAAAGGGAAATACTTAGTTTATCAGCATGAAATCAATGAACTACTGATGACCAACCATTTAAACACAGTGTTGCATTTGTACCAAAGCTAATTAATCCGTTAGTGCTGTGGTTAGCACTTCCTGTTAGCTGCCCAAATAACCAAGAGAAGTGAAACTTCACACCCATGCCTGGATCAGGAAATGCTAACTCACAGTACCAACCATTTTATTACTTCTCCTCTGTTTGAAGGTAGCAATTTATGCTAAGTTCTTTAGCATATCACATCCTCCAGCTGCTTACATGCTACTTCTACTGGAAGCCCAGTGATTTCAATCCCCTGAGAGTCAAGCATTTAAATTCTTTTGACTTATTTTTAGGAGCTTATTTTGGCAGAGGTTTATATTGATTATTCTCATCAGCAGACTTGATCCCACACTGCAGTTGTAACTGCTACACTCAACCTTTCTTTCTCGGTGTTTATGTTGCATTATAGATTCTATGCTACAAGTCCCAACACGCACCTTCTGTTATTCGTGCTGTGTTTTAAAACTGTTATTAAGAGAAAAACAACTCTTTTTATCTTCTTCAGTTATTTGATAATACTCTTTGCAAGAACAAACTTCAAAAAAGAAACAAAGCATGGATACTATTTTGTATAAGGCAGAAACCCCCCCAAACTGAATCTTAACCAGGCTGGATCTTGCATACAATGTATGCAAGGAAAATCTGCAACTATGCACAGCCACACTGATGTGGAAAAGAATCCACACACAAAGGCACAGCTATAGGATGATTCAAACAATGGAAAATACTTAACACGATTAAATAATTTGCTGCACTGTTCATTTGTGGCTGCATTCTTCTGCTTGAGAAAAGGGTGTGCCCAATCTGGTTTTCCTCTGTGTTGCTAGGTTACAAACTACGCAAAGAGCATGGGGAAACCTACAATCCCAACCCTCTTTCAAATAGAATGAAAATTACTTCTTTCAGACACAACTGTAACTTCCTGTTAACATTTTTTTTTTTATTAACTTCACAGGGACAACTCAGAGTTACTGGGGTTTTTTTTTGCATAACGATTTGTGTTCTGAGAGTTTGAAATCTTTCTACTAACAGTATTAGACATAATAGAAAACAGATGTGTTCTCTTTTCAAACATCTTTATGCTGGAAAATCTAGCTAAGCATGGATCATGAGTCATCTCTAGTTTATTCCTATGATGGTCTGTCTGCATACATGTCAGTGTGGTTTGCTTTATTTATCTTTTCCAATGACTGTGTCTTTTTACCATGAAGAGCACTCATTCAATCTATCTGCAAAAGTTTAGTGATTCTGTAAATGAAGCAATGAGTTCTATCTCCAAGAAAAAAGAAACAGAAAGATATTCAAATGTTCTTTCAGGCTTGCTTTACAGAAACATACCAAAGCCATGAGTTAAGTGTTTTGGCACAGCGTAAAAACAGAATAACATCCACTGTGCTCCTCCTCCTGTGTCAGTGTAAGAATGGGCTGGATGAACAGCTAGACAAGTTTCTAGGAGCTGCAGCGAATCATGGATTATATTGCAATCTTCTGCTGTGTTGTTCTAGAGGGGAGTATGGGTTCTGTAGCCATCTCTTAAGCGCAGCAATGGAGCAGGTGACCAGAACTAGTCCAGAGTAACACTGCATGAAATAGCCGAGTGTGCACTGGCTAGGAACTTTGTGAGTGAGCAGCCAGAGAGAGGGAGCTGGGTTGAGAAACATGTTGTTCTGCTTCTAGCCTACACGGCAGCAAAGAACAGTGGCGGGAACACTTCTGCAAAAGTTGTCTCTACCTTGAAAATAACAATAGCAATCCCTACTGCTTATTTTCCTCCAGGAGAAAATAAAACCAAAGACATGGTGCAGTTTCTTCTCAGTGCTCTTTCTCAAGTGACACAGTCCCCTGGAGGTACCCTTTACACTCAAAAACTAAATCCCAATTCAATCTAGACTTTAAAGTAAAATATATTTAAACATGAACATCTAAAGGAAAGATTATTGATTTAGACTCAAATCCCACTTAGTTTAAACACTAGATACACCTCCAAAGTTAATGGGTGTACTTATGCATAATGTCAAAAGCACGTGGCAAACACTGGGTTTCTGAAATAATGGGCCTTCATCTCTGAAAGACTTCAGCTAACCACAGCAAATTTACGTGTAAAAATTAATACAATATTGTCCAGCCCTCATTCCCCCACACTCCTTTTATTTAAACTGTCATTATAATAGCTCTCAGTAGTAAGGACCTTAGTTAGGCATC